TCTTGCTTGTGGCTTTTCCTGTTCTTGTTGCAAAAACAAGCACGTACATAGTCCTTCACAAAAACATAAAATGTGTTGTGCGGTCTTCTGTTCATGACAGTATCTGCACAGTGTTTCTCTTGACCAGCGCATGTGCTTTTTTAAGTGGCAGTGCCCTGTCAGGAGACCGGCCAGAATCCTGGTACGATTTCGGTTGCCTTCCAGTAATTCCTTTGTAAGTTTTGCGGATGGCCCTGAATCTCTTCGCGTCCCTCATGCCTGTGGTATTGCCTGACTGTCAGAGAAGATAATCTGGGAGTGTATTCCTAGTCTTTTTATTTCCCTGCCGCAGTGTTCAATCGATACGATTTCAGACTGGAAAACTATAGCATAGTTGCCTAGGTTCTCTCTCTCTTGAAAAAAACTATGATAGAATTAACAAATTTATTCGTTTTCTACAGGTTTGTTATGTACAGATAACATTACGTAAAATAAATGTGTTATAAATAATCAAGAAAAAATATGTTTTGTAGGTAATGATGATATTGTAATTTTTAATAACTCGTAATTAATATGGGCAAAGGCACTCCTTTTCCATGGTCAAGAATTTAAAAAAAACATGCTCACACACAGGAGAGTGTGCGAAAGAGAGAGTGAGAGAAAGAGAGAATGAGAGAAAGAGAGAGAGAGAGAGGGAGAGAGATAGATAGATAGAGAGAGAGAGAGGGAAAGAGAGAGAGAACGAGAGAGAGAGAAAGAGAGAATGTGAGAGAGAGAGAGAGAAAGAGAGAGGGAAAGAGAGAGAGAGAGAGGGAAAGAGAGAGAGAGAAAGAGAGAGAGAAAGAGAGAATGGAGAATGAGAGAGAGAGATAGAGAGATAGATAGAGAGAGAGGGGGGAAAGAGAGAGAGAAAGAAAGATAGAGAGNAGATAGAGAGATAGATAGAGAGAGGGGGGAAGAGAGAGAGAGAGAAAGAGAGAGAGAGAAAGAGAGAATGAGAGAGAGAGAGAGGGAGATAGATAGATAGAGAGAGAGAGAGAAAGAGAGAGAGAGAAAGAGAGAGAGAGAAAGAGAGAAAGAAAGAGAGAGAGAGAAATGTCAACCATAAGTCATTTTCATTTAGAATATCGAAAAATTAAATCTCTTTTTAAATTAATCCATGTTTAGTAGCTATAATTGACCGTATTAATTATTTTAAAATGTTTTTAAATTGCCATCGAATTTCATCAGAATGTTTTATGTTATTTTAACTCCATATTTAAAGTTCTAATTAAATGGTGGAGTTTTAATTAGCGATTTTTAAAAGGAAAAAAAGAAAAACGTAAAAAAAATGTAGAACAGATTAAAAATTAGGGCCGCTCCGGGATTTGAACCCGGGACCTCCTGCACCCAAAGCAGGAATCATACCCCTAGACCAAGCGGCCGCCCGTTCACGATGAGCCCACTGAAGACACACCGGTCAATGATTTTACTGTATTCATTTAGATTGTCGGTTTCTGGAAATATTAAGATTTCGCTTCGAAATCTATTCCGCATTTGCTTCCAGTTATGCCATTTTAATAAAATAAAAACTGCATTTTTTAAAATTATATTTTGCCTTTTTTTATATTTCTAGGCTGACGACAATTTAAGTGCATCTGGCATACAAAAAGAAATTTTTAATCTAAAATAAAACGTAAAAGAGAAGCATACTTTCCAGAATCAATTTTCAAAATAATAGGCAAGTGACAAGAATGAAGTACTTACGTTGAAGATACATACATATAACTAAGTGCACTGACAGGCAAAAAATTCTACCCATTTGTAATATACCTTGAGCTGTATATATTTATTGATACATATATGAATACTACTACTACTATATGTCTTTATTGTTTAATATATATATACAAAGTTTACAGATCGGCAGTATGTATTACAGAGCAAGAAACACGATCCTCATGGTTTAAAACCGTCTGAATATACATATATCAAAGTTTCACATTTTTATACGATTAATAATTGAGTCTTTGTCTAAAAAAGCAAAAAAAAAATTATAGCTAAGAAAAATGCAGAATAAAAAAATTTAAACAATTTTGTTTTATTTTATTTTAATTTTGATTAATTTGTTTTGGAGTTTTAATTAACATTTCAATATCGCGTATTTCCTCCACTTACCTTAATTACATTTCGGTATACTTTCTACCAGTCTGGAATTGTCTCTTTGCTTGAGGTTAGCTGATTCTTCACGAAGAGTCCTTTCAAGATCGTGGAGTTTATCAGGAAGTTCGCCTTTTGAGGTTATCCCATAAATATTCGATGGGGTTCAAGTCCGGAGAACGGGCTTGCCAGGCTAAGACCCCGATGTGATGATGTTGAAGGTACGTTTGTATTATGCAAGTGACATGTGGACGGGCAATATCTTGCATTAGAATAGGATTATCGCTGATTTTTCGAGGATAGGCAATGAATGATGTTACAAAATTTCATCTACATAGAGAATTGGCGTCAAAGACCCTCCACGAACAACAACCAACTCTGTGTCACTCTCCGTTGAAATTCCCGCCCACACCATCACTGACCTACGTTGAAAAGGTTGGCTCTGGAAAAATTTCAAGCTACACATCTTTCATTTCGCCTTCTCCATTCTCTTTCACGTCCATCTGGAGATCGTAGAGTAAATCTACACTCATCTGTAAAATGTTCAGGCCATCGTTCAAAGACCAATGGCTGTGTTCTCGAGCAAATGCGAGTCGTGCAACTCTGTGTGTTCTGGTCAATTCTGGTCCTCTTACGAAGAGAAAAGCCATCAGTCCATACTGATTTAATCTTCTTCGAGCAGTTCAGAAATTTGAAACCTCGAACTTCCTTGAGCTGATGAATCGCTTGAACAACAGTAAGGTGCCGGTTTCGTAAAATTCTCAAAGTCAAAAACGGTCATCCTGTGATTTCCCTAGGTTGTCAAGAATCAGGCCTTCTATGGTAGGACCCAGCTTCTCACAAACGTCTAACGGCGTCTCGCAGTGTTCCGTAGGGAACTCCGATGGCATTAGCCGCATACCTGATGGAACGTCCATCATCAATAATGCCACACCACGCACAACAACCTCAGAACTAAGTGAAGCTGAACCGTTTATTGCTTCAGAATTCAAATGAGACTAAATAAGCATTTTAAATTCCGTGAGAAATAAATATTGAAAAATCATTTATTCTTATTTTGGATTTAGGATTCAGTGTGTTTACCCCTAATTGATATTCCCAATTCAAAACATACCATAAACAAATATTTAATAATAAAACCAATGAGACAAATTAAGGGCAGAATTTTCTTTTATCGAGAAAATGAAAAAATCAAGTGGGTGGAATTTTTTGCCTGTCAGTGTATAAAGATCAATTTTAAAATTAAAAATAAACTAAATCGGTCAATTTCATCCTTTCCAGGGCCAACATATCGAGTGAATTAATTGTTTTTTTTGTTGTAATGGTTTTATTTGATGAAACAATCAATTTGAGTACAAAATTAATTAATAATTTTTTTCTTAAAAATATGATTTTAGGTCGACAAGATCTCGCCCAGGCTTTGGTTAAAGACAGGCATTCGATACATACCCAGGTCCGATGGTCTACAGCGTTTTATGGTCAGTGGAAATCTCCATCGAAGAGAAGGTAGTGGTTGAGTGGTTGAACGCGATGTATGTCAGCTAGAGACGATCGGCTTATTGCTCTTACCTCACTACGGAACCGTCATTTAATGGCTTCTTTCATAGGTAGCAGTCAACTCCAATATATATATATATATGAATATATGACGTCACATTTCAAAGGTGTTGCATCAGTTATTCTGTGCCATGTTCTGTTGATAGCATTCTGTATCTTGTGAATATTCTTGTACCACTGTTGAAAATTTCGTTAAGACCGATAAGCTTGTTGAATTTAGACCCTCTACCTGATCATTACCTCTAGGTACTCCCGTGGTCACTTCAACATGTCGTATTTCCTGCTCGTCGCAAAATTGATTAAAATCATTGGAGGTAAACGCTGTTCCTCTGACCATCACCATCCGTTGCGGGTTGCCGAAAGTCTGTTGCAGACATTGGAGGCTGTTGAGCGTTTACGTTACTTCCTTTGTATTCGTTGGGAGGGAAGGAGGGAGGGAGGGGGCTGAGATGGAGGGGGAGAGGGAGGGNAGAGAGAGAGAGAGAGAGAGAGAGAGAGAGAGAGAGAGAACTGAACAGAAGCATACAACGTTTTTGAAGTAAGAAATGAATCTCTGTCTGTCTGCCTCTCACTCTCTCTATCTATCTCTCTCTCTCTCTCTGACTCTCTTACTTTCTTCTTTCTTCCTTTCTATCTCATTCTCTTTCTCTTTTTCTCTCTGTCTCTGTCTTTCCTCTCTCTCTCTCTTTCTCTCTCTCTCTCTCTGTCTTTCCTCTTTCTCTTTTTTCTTTCTATCTCATTCTCTCTCTCTTTCTCTCTCTCTCTATCTATCTATCTATCTCTCTCTCTCTCGCTCTCTCTCTCACTCTCGCTCTCTCTCTCCCTATTTCTCTCTCTCTCTCTCCTCCTCTCTCTCTCTCTCATTCTCTCTCTCTCTCTCTCTGACTCTCTTACTTCCTTTCTTTCTCTTTCTTCCTCTTTCTTCCTTTCAATCTCATTCTCTCTCTCTCTCTCTCTCTCTCTCTCTCTCTCTCTCTCTCTCTCTCTGTCTTTCCTCTCTCTCTCTCTCTCTCTCTCTCTCTCTCTCTCTCTCTCTCTCTCTGTCTTTCCTCTTTCTCTTTTTTCTTTCTTTCTCATTCCCTCTCTCTCTCTCTCTCTCTCTCCCCCTCCCTCTAAAAAAATAATATATAAATAAAACAGCGTATCTTCCTTCTTTTGTATGTTTTCCTCCTGAAAGCGTAAATAATTGTCCGGTGTGAGAATCTATTAATTGTTCAATGTTAAAATAGGGCCGAAGTTATGATGACATTAGCACATTTTTAAATGAAAGGAAAAAATTGTAATTTTTCAAAATTGTTTTTAAAAAAATATTTCATAAAGATGTAAAGTTATAAATATAAATGTTGTATATTTAATTTTTAAATCCGTGTCTTAGACGGGTACATTAGTGACTTCAAGAAAATCTATAATCACATATGACGTTAATGTTTTGAAGCACAATTATTACATTACTATTGATATATTTTAGATCGTTGTTAAATCTATTTGCTACTTTTAAAACTCACAACAACGAGTTAATGTTTGGGTGGTGTGTGTGGTGTATGTGTGTTATTATGTAAAAATAAGCTGCAATGTTTGATAAATAACTTAAAATTCATTTAATTAACAGACAAAAAGTATAACATAAGTTATATCAAACATTTTCTGTATGAATCAATAGAAATAAATAATATAGTGGCTAGTTTGTTTTAACATTTCCCCACCTAAAACCGTAGTTTTCTGACGTCGTTATTAGTCTGTTTAATTTATTAAAAATAAAACTTGTAATAAAACCCGCCACTTGTTAAACAATTGATTCTTCCTTTTTTTTACTAGAGAAAATAGTATAAATTTCAGGTTATACGTAGTCTTATTATTTTTTTAAGCGTTCTTTTTCAGCTTTAACCAAACAGCGAGATGGAGCGGTGTGTTCAAAATAAATTGGGCTAAAATTACTTTTGAGTTTTGTCAGTATAGAACAGAACTCTTTGAAGGTCTATACCATAAAATTGTTAAATGGGAAAGAGAGATAGATAGAGAGAAAAAAGAAAAAAAGTAAATATCACGCGAAGGTAAAATTTTCCTCATGGTTGCATGATAAAATGAAGAAAATGGTGTGAAATGACCGCTGGCAGACGTTAAACTCCCGCAAGTTGCTACTCCCTTCCACGGGCCGTTCCATTTTCCCCCCAGGCTCCAATAAAAGGCACTCCGACCCTACAAGATCACTCCATTCAGTAACGATGATCATTGCAAAAAAGATGATCTTGAAGTCTATCAACGTCCTTTGTTTAGTGGTGAGTTTTGCAACAGCGGCTTCATTCCAGGACCCGGACGTAGACGTCGACTCGTACAATTCCGTCAACTTAACGACGGACGATGCCCTCAAAGAAGTAAGTCTGTGTTCAATAAATAAATTCAATAAATTTATGATATTACAAAAAATAAAACATAAAAAAAATATTTTACTCTCCTGTTTAAACAAGACTCAATAAACTAATGATTAGCCTATTTAATCGTTACATACAACAATTTTTTTTTCTTTCAAAATTTTTTCGGTTCCTTCTTATATATTACAAATATTAACACAAGATAGTTTAAATTTTTTAAGACAATTATTTATAAAAAAAAGTTAAAAGATATTTTCTGCAGTATTTGATGCTTAAAAAATAGATTATTAAGTCAATTTTGTCAAAATATGATTCACACACATAATAATCCAAATTATGTTTATATTTTAATCTAAAAAAATACTTTTGATTAGAAATCTCTATTGATAATTATACAATTTTTTTTACCAATTTGGGGTTTAAGAATTTACTTCGTTCGCTAAGCCGGTTTTTGTTTTTCGTATTGATTTGTATGATCGTTTTTTTTTCTAAATCAGCCAAACTCTTACGATTTTCTTTAACTTTTTTTTAATAACTCAAATTCGCCTGCAGGAATTACAAACTAGAGGGTACAGAATCGTGTGATCCGGGGGATTTTTAATTAAATATTTCAGCTAGTCCAAAACTTCTTGCCAATGAATGCTAGGAGCCGAGAATTAAAAAATTCTATGAGAATTGTATATGGCGTTTTGGGCTAATTTCCTTTCTTCAGCATTTATAATTTTTACAAGAGCGATTTCATAGGAATAACCCATCTTAGGTAAATAACATTTTAATTTACTACAAGTTTAACCATACCTCTTCGTAATTTGTACCCAATTTTACGCTTGTTGTCTTTTTTAAAAATTAAAATATGGTAGGTTACTCTTGTGACATTGTTCTCGTAAAAATTGAATAAAAAATATTGTAGAAGCTGAGAGTGGAATAATTAGCTTTAAACGTACAAATGTAATCCAATTTCAACATGTAATGATTGGTATTGTTACAAAAATTAATAAAACAAAACGTTAAAACCATGTTTGAAAAACCTTTGGAAAATCAACCAATACAAACATATTTTTTTTAAAATTGGTTGTCTGCCTTGGTTTGTGCACATATATCATGGTTATTTATGTACAACGATTTTTTTTAACTTAGCGTAAGAAAATAATGTGCAGGATTGTATTAAATGAGTTCAGATATACAAAAGTTACAAAGACGAAAAGTCGCTTCCAGTAAAGAGGGCCAAAATTTGTTTTTAAAAAGACAAAAAACAATTCGGATTTGTTTTAAGCACTATATAAAGCCTTCAAATACGAATTTTTGTAACAAACAAAAAATAGACATTTTGGATTGGGAGTAATTGTTTTTCTCCGGTATCCGGTGTTCTAATTAAAAATTTATTACTCCAAATTTGTGATTACAACTCCTGCAAAGCTTAATCTTTCCTATCAGTGATCACAGTTGCAAAAGCTTTTGGGAGAATGGCTTATCGAAATTTCCTGACAAATGACGAGATGTCAACGCATGCATGTTATGAATGTCGTGCTCCTCAAATACTTAATATTTCTATTATTTCTATACATAGTTACTAGGTACTAGTTAGTTAGCTGCAGTATTTGATAGTTACTGTGATAAAAATTTGAACAAAAATACATTAAGAATTTTTAGAGCAAAGAAAAATAGACATAATTTGACTATTTCAATAAGGTTTAGGGTATATGTCTTAATAAGTGAGACAAATAAGGATGAAATCTTCAAAACCATCTCAAACGTTTTACTTTATATCACTGATTCTAATAACGCAAGTGTGTTTGTGTCATTACATAGTTTACAAAGTAAATAGTTTATAAGAAGAAACTACCAAAATAAGTACAAATATTTTCAATGAGAGACAAAACTGATATTCGTTTTCTTACCTACAAAAACGTCTTAATACAATTTTTTGGGAAAATCAAAATATGATTTTTTAATTTTAATTCGCCTATCTCATTGCTTCCAATTTTTTTCGAAAATGACAAAAATAGTGATAACTTTGAAACAACTCTAATTATCCACAGGAAACATTGCAGGGCTTAAAATCTCTATGTAGTGCACATAATAGTACAAACTCGGTCTCAGTAAATAAATTAGAACCTGAAATATGAAATGAAGTTTGGAAGGATTTAGATTTCATCCTTATTTGTCAAATTTAGAATGGCATAAAAGCTAAACTTTCTTTACATAAAAAAAAATTAAGCTCTCTAGCAGTTATAGTAATGTTGAATTTGGATAAAATCCAGAAGAGCTATGGATTTTTGAAATGGAACACCTATATACCTCTGACTAATACAGCCCCCAAAAAAATTTTTTTTGCTATAAAATTAGTATTTAAAGATTTTGAAAGGGGCTCAAAACGATTTTGTTTTTAAAAAATAATTTTTTTGACCTAATTTACTGGAAGTCTCTTTCCGTTTTTGTAACTTTTTTATATTTGAAATTTAATACGATCGTTTATTATCCTAAAATAGAACAAATCAACTGATATAATAACTTCAATGAATTGTTATTTTTATCTAAGGTCTTGATTGAGATGAAAATGTCAGTGTCACGAGCGGGATTCGAACCCACGACCTTCGGCTCAATAAGCCGCTGCTCTAACCACTTCACGAACTGATTGAAATGTTACGATAGATCAAGTCTATCAATTATGACCGTTAAACATATATGAATTAATATAATATAATAACATTGAAACCCGAGACGAGTTTAGTCTTTTTTGACCTTGTATCACCAAAAAGAGTTTCATTGAAAACCGTAAATATTGTCCACTTGTAAATTCATAACCGGATTTGAGAGCAATTACATAGAACGAAGCATAGACAGTTTTATAAGTTTTACGCTTGAACTTTTTTGAAGTCTGCGAGGTGATGAATATGAAGGTAGTTTATCGTTCAGGTTGTCACGATCCGCCTGTTCTCGTTGGTTTTTTGACATTGAATGAAATCGAAGAAGTTTTAATGCGGTTCTTTATTGATTTTATATTTCCCCGGAACATATTTTTTTCCAAATACCAATTATTTCTTATGACTGTTTAGTAAAAAAAACGAATTACACTCGATAGAAATAGTAAAGGTGATGTGACCATGTAGATTCACTTTTTGTAAATGATGGTTCTATTCACAGAATTTTATAGTACGATTTTGTGAATATTGAATATAATTCCAGTACAAAAAGGTGAATAACACTCCATTTCCCTCCTTCATATTTTACAAACATACAAAAAACTGACAATCAAAATTGACCTGAATTATATTGAATTATGCAAACCGTGTTGTCAACAAGACTTAAAAACTATACTTAACACACTAATTGGGTTAAAAACATACAAAGTAAATTTGATCGTTGATAATTTTTCTTAAAATTAAATCCGGCAGCCCTGCAGCTATTGTGAAATAAAAATTAAATAACAATTACAGTATAAAATCAAAGAGAAAACCGCTTAAAAATTTTATAGCAGACACGTTTTGTCCGTGTTAGGAGGATTAAAGCCGACCACCTCCGATTGGCAACGTGCCTAGTAATTTTAACGCTACATTTTTGTCGCTTTCCTCGGGAAAAGTGCAGATCGGATTAGTATAAATAATAAATTAAACGCTATAATTTCCTATTTTTTGTTAGCGGAACATAATTATTGTTTGATAATTTATGAATAAAAACAACAAGAATTTTATAATATTCTATATTATTGCCCACCTTCTGTTTTACCCATTATCAACCAAAATTACGGTTTTTATTTTCTAAACATTTCTTACAAATTTTAAACATCACTTATATACAGTAAACTAGCCGAAAACACACAAACGTTCCAAAATAACACGCACCAAGCAAAAGCAAGCAAAGAAATCAAATGCAAACAGACAAATAGTGTGCGTAATGTATATAACCTAAACCTAGCAAAACCTCGGCACATGACAACCGTTGTTAAAATACGCAAAGTAAATACATAACATCATTTTAGAAACGTTTCAAATATGTCACTATTGATAATATACAAGGATGACCTAGGAAAGAAAAAATACTGCTCCTAGAGAGTTCTGAGACAAGTGAAAATATACATACATGCAAAGATTTTTTACACAAACGTGCAATGATATTGTTATTGGTAAAAAAAAGTGTTTGAAATATTGAAACTTACTAAATAAAGACCATAATGTATACACACACATAATTATTAAAAAAGAAACACCGCACATGGGTAGACAAAAATCAATGAAACATATAATCACAGATTTATATAATTCACACGCAAACAAACTGGTTCGCATATAATGAAAAGAGGTATAAACTAAGCAAAAATGGGTCATAATAGTTACTCCAAACACAAAAACGAAGCTCTCAGTTTTGCCTTACCTCACTTTCACAACTAAAGATTTTTAAAAAAAGTTATACTCATAAAAACTATATTATCATAAATTGATAATATTGGTATTGTCATATTCTCTTCATTAGGTTGGTTTTTAATTAATTTTTTTATCATATTTCTTATTTTATTCCAAGACAGAGACAACCAAAAATGTTGGTATTAGTGTTAATTAAATATGTACGTGTATCTTTTTTTAATTTTATTGCTTATATTTTTCCTCCAAATGACTAGGGTTTCACAGATCTATACTGGCTCTATCCCTCCTTCCGGAGGAAGTATTTCATATTCTCTTTCCTTTACCAATCCGTAAACTCTCGTCGACCTCACTACACTAGCTAGTTCAATTCAAAACTTCTACCCACTCTCTTAAGACCGGCTCGTTTCTAAATGACCTATATCATCCTCGCCATAAAACCTCAACATTTGAGAGGTCCTTCCTAGCTCTAGCGACAAATCTCTGGAATTCTCTTCCTTTTCCAATCCGCAAAGCTGCCTCCCTTACCCCTTTTAAATCCTGTACCAATACCTCACCTCCCACCAAACAGAGACAACATCACAATATTATCAGGTGCTTTTGATACATCAGAAAACTTGTTTTCACCCCTAACATTTAAACCTTCTATCTTAAGCTATCCTTCTGAGTGCTACAAACCTCTGACTCCAAACATTCACTCATAAACTAATCCTATTGTCATCCATATCTTTAATTTATCCTTTTAAAATATTTAATTTGGAAGGCCAAATGTATGCAAAACCCCATTTTATATTATAAAAATTTATTTCTGTTCTTTAAATATAATTTTCTAATTTTTGTTCCATAATTTAAACATTTCCCATAGTATGGCCAATAATAAAATAATAATAATGGATAATAATGTAGTTAGACTAGCAACCTTCTCAGCATGAGCATAGGCTCATCGTTATTCTTTTATTCTTCCATACAAATACTACAATAAATTAATGCTACTTAACAATAATAAAAAAACAAAAAACACAATTACTTTTTTTGGGGAGGGACATATCTTTCCTTGCGATTTTGGGCATTGTAGTTTATTACCCCGTAATTTGTGTTTTCTTTTATTTCATTTTGCCACTCCGGCAGCCTCAAAAATTCCTGAAAAAAGATAGAAATCTTGCACGCGCAACTCTCATTCAACAAAGACAATCAGACAAACATTCAAAGGTATAAGAGTTGGAGAAAAGGCTATTTATTGCTAATATTATTTTTATGTGATTCAGTTCAACTTATTGTACTTTATGTTAAGTCAAACATCCATTAATTCAAGTGCCAGATTTGTAAAAAAATTTGTCCTTTCTTTTGTGCAACCCTCATTTAACAAAGATAATCAGACATACATTCAAAGGTATAAGAGTTTGAGAAAAGGCTATTGCTAATTTTATTTTTATGTGATTCAGTTCAACTTATTGTACTTTATGCTAAGTCAAACATCCATTAATTCAAGTGCCAGATTTGTAAAAAAAATTTGTCCTTTCTTTTGTTATCCTTAGATGGCTCTAGTGCCAAAATTAAGTATTCTCTCTCTTTTTCTTTCAAAAATTTTATCTCCATTTATGAAATAAAATAAAGATAAAAACATAAACACATATATATTTAATATACATACATAGTCTTAATCATATATAATACAATGGTATGAAATTAGAATGTGGAACAGAAATAATAAGTAATTTTAAGGGTCGTACATCAAACGATTTTCCTTGGCGGTGATTTTCCTGGTCGGCTTGTTCCAAATAACTGAACAACGTCCTTAATTTCAGTTTCCACGTGGCGTACTGAACAAATGTTGAAGAATGAAAAAGGTTTTTTATTAATACAGTCACTGGCATGAATATAACAGGTTAATTTTTGTGAAAAGGAAGCATTTAAAAAGAACTTGGCCTACTGTTTCACTTCTGGCTGTAAATCAACGCCGTTGGTCTACATTTGGCCAATTCCTGTAGAATATTTCGCTTCGTTTTGGTGACATTTTATCTTATTGTTTGTTAATTTGTTTCACGTTGGGATGAAAAACCACAGAGAAATAAGTACATGGAAAATGTCAACGTAAATTTGTTTTTAAACGTAAGTACTAATTCTAATAGTAGGCTTCAAAACAGAAACAACCACCTTTTTTTGTTGTCCCATGCTTTGAATGTTTTGCCCCTCAAAAAGTGAGCCAAGGGCCGGAATGATAATCCGAAGGAGCGAGGTCGGGTATGAGAGAATTAATTGTCGTTAAATGTTTGTAATATAACAGCGGCGTGTATTTGGAAGAATAGCACATGACAGTCGGTATGACAGTACGATAGTTCCTGATCGATATATTTCTTGTGAAATTTGCTTGAACTTGTTTGATCGTTTAGGATCATTTTGGTCCGCCTATTCTCGCCGTTTCATTGATTCAGCGATTGATCAGTGAGTTATTTTGCCATCAGTTGCCATCATTGTCCATCAAATAAGGCGAGACGCCAGACCGGTGGGCCAAAATGTCCCCAAACTATCAAACTATTTCGACGTAAAATTAGCGTGATGACTTTCTACGTTTTGAAAGGTAGAAAATTGTCAATAGCTGCCAATGGTCCGTCTTGTTGCACTTTGATACGACAAAAGTGACCAAGAACCGATAAAATAGGCGTATCAAATATGATCGGTTAGCAGACCACCCACGTCCACTAATCAGCTATTTTTTCCTGTCTGGCTGAGTCTAGAAAGCGACTTGACAGACAAGAATACAGATTGTTGAACAAAACTAAAAATCCATCGGCCATCTCACAATGACATTCATCCGACGATGATCGGCTTTTTGTGCTTAACCGGGTTTTTTTTCTGACGTTCTGAAACTTCGACCGAGAAAATTACATGTGTAAAAAAACAAACCGCAGTCCCACTGCACCCGTCATTTCAATGTATTCTTTCTGCGGTTGATGCAACTGAGGCGTTTCTTCCCAATGCCAGTTCTAACTGTAATAGTAGTTCCGTATTGAAAAAGCACCTCTTTATTTGCCTCTACCACGGCGAAATCGTAAAACGCAAAAACTATCGAAATTGCAATTGTTTTGAGGTCATTGAAAAAATTACCTTAAAAAGTAGGTCGACACACGAAAAAACTTCTACTTTCTTCTGAATTATAATGAAAATCACACAAAATTATCTTTATTGTTGAATTTGTTTATATTGTCAACATACATTTTTTTCTAAATAACTGATATTTTCTGCTATCAATAACAGATCAATGGGATATAATCTGACATAGGCTCATACAAATCAACGTCTCCAATACAAAAAAATAAATTAGGGAGTGACCAATGTTTTATTTTTAAATTTAAATAAATAAAGGCCATCAACCAATTGGGTCATTTTCTGCATTGATATTAATCCCAATGGCTCACACTGAATGATATGGTATACCTAAGACAGGCGAAAACCACATAACAAATGACGGACTTTTTTCCTTTTTTTATTTTTTACTTACTAGACCTATCGAGGGTTTTAATGATCACCTAGCCAATACCGATCCCAAAAAGCGCGCATTATTGTATTATGTGTGGTGATTAGTGACCGTTAATCGATAATTATTCAGAAATCGTGAGATGAGGTCTGGTGTGATGTAGGTTTCAGGAAAACATTTTCTTTATCGTGCCAACGTTTCCATCTTTATTGAGATCATCTTCAGGGCTCAATAAAGATCGAAACGTTGGCACGATAAAGAAAATGTTTTTCTGAAACCTACATCACACCAGACCGCATCTCACGATTTCTGAATAATTATTGTATTAATTAAATTTTGTTGAATTAAAATTTATTGCTGTAGAATGTATGACATTCTTATAAAGTGAGATAAAATCATGTTATATTTTTGAAATTATGCTAGATTCTTTTATATATATAGAAATTAAAAAAAGAAATAATTAACTTTATGATCAACTGGTTGCAAGTTCAAGTCCTATTCATCGAACAATGAGGCAAAACAGACAGTCTGAAAACTTTCAAACTTTTCTCATAGATATGGACAAAAAAATTTAGATAGTGATATTTTGCATGTAAATAGTTTTGTACCCATAAAATTTGAATTTTTTCATTTATGCACAACCTTATTTATTAATATTTGTAATTCTAAGTTTTTTTTTTTTTGGTCTGTAGGGTGATGAACCTATAATTTGGTGGTTACAAATCATTTTGGACTGTTAACACAGACACACTGAAGATGGTAAAATACCAAAACATCTCTGACTGACCAACTCGTTGAAACTAGGTGGACAAAAAATAATCAGTAATGACTAAATTATATGTACTTTTACCTGTATAATGAATCTTGTATTTTCAACATTGTTATATAATCCATGTGGTGGATTTTAAGCCCTTCTGTTTAACTGAAAATTAGATAACAATTTTTTTTCTTGCTTGATCAGACAGACCAAAACATCATGGATAAGCAAACCAAAAATGACCAAAAACAGCAAAGCTACTAGATCATAACCTGCAAGCCTCGAGAATATTATATATAAGTTAATTAAATTATATATTATTGATTATATAAATATGTGAAATATTAATCCATATATTTTTTGCCATAATTGGCCATATTAATTATTTCAATTAATTTTTATTTTTATCTATGGTCTTGGTTTAGATGAAAAATTTTTTTCGGCTCAATACGCCGCTGCTTTAACCACTTGAACTATTTATCTTCGAAGTGGAGAGCCGAAGGTTATGTGTTCAAATCAAGCTCATGACTAGCTTTTTCATTTCAGCCAAGACTATAGATAAAAAGAATAATTAATTGAAATATATAAAATATATTTGTTTTTAATTCCTAATCCCGTGATGACAATTGTTAGAGCGACCAGCTCATATTTGCCACACTAGCTGTTTATTAATAATATAAAAAAATGTAAGCAGGCTCACAAAGTATTTAAAAAGTCCATAGAATTGTAAGTCCAGTCATTAATAAGTTATTCTAGTTTAAAGTGAATTATGATCTTTTAAAAGCGTTAAATGAATTTACCAGGCCATGATTTTTTTATTACATATTTTCAGTCTAAATAGTTTTAGTTTGCAAAAGCTTCAAATTATATNTTATTTATTTATTTATTTAAAAAGAATAACACTGGTTTTCATGTCTGTAGATTATGGGCAAAGAATGCCGAGGTGGTTATTCACCTTTTTGCCTTAAACTCGGTCTAATGAGACTTATGGGCAGAGGGGGTGGATTTACTATCCCAATTGTACCGGGTGTCAGACTGACTTCTCCAGAACTCCCTCAGGGACCTTTGACTTCGCCCTCTAAGCTGGCCAAGGAGCCAGAACTTCTAGATTCACTCCTGCTCAAGCGTCTTACCGACTACCTAGGTTCTCTGTCCATCAGCGTTAATATCCTGGACAAATCAATGCCACTGTATTTTGCAAAGGCATATTTTGGCAACAACCCTATTACAGGTATTGTTTAACTCTAAAAATTAAATATGTAATGTACAATAATTTAAGGAGTTGTAATGTACATTTTTTATTGTTTGTCTGCCTTCTTTTTGTTGGAGCAGGAAGGAAGAGGGACAAAAATGGAGGTGCTTTGGCTGCTGCTGGTCTTATGTCTGTAGGCACCATGCTAGCTGTTGGTATGGCGGCTCTTGCAGCAATGGCCGGCAAAGCGCTTATGGCATCATTGCTGGCGCTCATGCTTGCAGCAGTTGCATCTCTAAGCAAAGGAGGCGGTGAGGAGGGCAAAACAACTTATGAAATTGTCGCAAAACCGATCGTAAGCCACCAGCATTCTCACTCGAGCGAAGTCATCCACGGTGGTCACCACCACAGAAGAAGCGTTGATGAACCAGAAAGTTTGGTTTATGCCAAGCAAATCCCTTATAACAAAATGTCATAATGCGTTTATCATGAATAGCCTGTTACTAGCAGATAGTAGGTGATATTAAACCAAAATGAAAGGACTGTATTATAATGTAAAAATGTTTAGCATTGTGTAATAATCTATTTATTTTTCTAAATTATATTATGATTTATATGTTTCTTATTTATTATTTTTAATAAAGAGACTTTAAAAATTTAGCTAATTTTTCTGCAAATATTCCTAGAGAAATCCAGTGTCAGTCAGAGTAATTTGACCCTATACATCAGACTGGACAGGTCAAAACATCTGCCCAGACACATGAGGTACTTGGTATTGTCTATGCCAAAATATTTAGAACAGTTAAAAACAAATTAGCTTCATGATATGCCTGACAATAAGGGAACAGAAGATGGACAGTTACAATGCTTTACAACATTTAATTCTTTACAGAGAAGATTGATGAATACTACAAAAGACCCAGAAGTTCACCTGGAAGTTTGCAAACCCCGACGAAAAAGAAAATAAACATGGACTCTAACGAGCTGTTACAGTCATTTGCAAAAATTATAGACGAAAAACTTGAATCCTTTAGTGTAAAGATGAAAAAAGACATAGAATTGATAAGGACTGATCTAAACCAGAACCTTCTAAGCATAAAAGAAGAAAATAATGCGCTCCGCAAAGAGGTTCTTACATTGAAGAAAGATGTCCAGGAGAATAGGCGACGCTTGGATGCATTGGATATGGCTTTAAGAAAAAACAATATCATTGTCGGCGGCCTAGAAGTGAAGCAGGGAGATCACCCCATCCAAATGGCCCAGACTTTTTTCAGTAGCGTCCTCCATATATCCGAACCTATTCAGATGAACTCAGTACAAGTCCTGGGTAGGGAGGGGGCTACACGCAGGCCTCTCTTGGTGTCTCTAACCTGTCTCCAGGACAAGTGGCGAATACTAAGGAGCTCACCTATTCTTCGTTGGACGGGTTACAGTATCGCTCAAGACTTTCCAGCATCGATCAGACAGAAAAGATTTAACCTTCTTCGCGTTCGAGGCGAAATACGAAGACGTATTCCAGGGGCCAAATGTCTCCTGCGCTCTGACAAACTGTTATTCCAAGACAAGTGCTATTTTTGGGATGAGACTTCTGGACTCTGTTCGAAAGATTCTGGAAAACCTGTCGACAATATAAGTGGAGTGGAACTTTCTTCTCTTATCCAAGGTCTTCGTTCCTCTGAGAATGCTTCAGGTCGATCGCGAATTACTGCTGGCGATCCGTCTTCCTCTGTCACAACTGAATAGCATAAGAAAGTCTGTCGGAGTGCTCCTTTAAAAATTATGTGTTATAACATAGCAGGTCTTAGTAATAAAAAACATAGCTGCTCTTTCTTTAATTTTGTAAACTCTTTTCATATATTCATCTTACTAGAGACACATGTGCTCAACCAGGGTGACTCCTTATTTTCAAATTTCTTTACCAAGCATGACCTACGCTGGAATGCTGAAAAAAAAACCTCCACCTTCGGACGTGCAAGTGGGGGTGTAGTCATTGGGATAAAAAAAAATCATTGTTTGCAAAGTATATCCAAATTGATGGTTTCGAATTAATTAAAATTTTCACTCCCAAAATCATTTTCCATCTGTTGCCTATATACTTAAATTGCAATAATTGGGAACAGGACTTTAGTGACCTTACCAATTTTTTGTCTGAACATAGGGATCTAAATCTAACAGTTATGGGCGACTTCAATGTGAGAATAGTGGAAGAACAAAATTTAGAAGAGATTGAACTCGAAAGTATTGGGAATTTTAGTTTGTATCGCCGCTCCAGAGATCTAACCGTCAACTTAACGGTCGTTCTATTGGTGATGCAGAAGGGCACTCTACATATATATCTAGAAATGGAGCTTCGGTCTGTGACCTACTATGTGTACCAACTCATTTATGCCCCTTGAAAGAGGATTTTTGGGTTTTAGGGGAGACATTCTCAGATCATCAGCCTATAGTGTTTTCCATGTTTTGTGACAATACCCCTAATTATGAGAGTCCCACTCCGCTTAAAAGGTTGATCAGATAAATACATTGACACTTATAGAAAGAATTTAACCCGGCCCCTTCTACTTTCTACCGTCGATTCTGTTCCAACAGCCTGCAACTTGGATGAATACAGTTTAATGTTCGAGAAAGTAATAAAAGCTTCTTGGCCCCACTTGACCAAAGGTGGGTTACATAAAATTCGAAAGAACCCTTGGCTTGATTTTGATTGTCACTCGCTGCGAAATAAAACGTTTTCTCTACTTAAATTGTTTCGCATAACTAATTCTGATATGGTTAAAAAGGATTATCTAGACTCTAATCGGAAATTTAAAGCCCTCTGCATTGAAAAAAAAGGTCTATTTCACAAAAGTGGTGAACAGTTTCGAGAAAGTTAAGGATGCCACAGAATACTGGAAGTTGGCGAACCACTTTAAACATAGGTCTCCTTCCAAAAGCAGTAATATCTCGATGAGTTCCTGGGTAACCCACTTTAAAAATTTACTTAACCCCCCTTGATCACCTTTGCACATGTTTCTCAACCTCCTCTTTTTGACTGCATTTTAGATGAATCTTTTACGTTAAATGAATTGAAAAATGTTGTCTCTAGTTTAAAAAATAATAAAGCTCCGGGTCCTGATGGCATTAGCTACGAGTTCTATAAATTTGCAACCGACTGTTTTGCTCTCAACATGACAAAAACTCATATTGCAAAATATGCAATGAATTCAATTTGGGCTAAATTCACTTCCAATAATCTTGTCCCGGTGTGCAGCAAATACAGGCTGTTTTTGGCTGTTTGCCGCTCGATTGTGTCCTACGCTTCCCAGGCTTGGGGTTTCCAGCGCTATGAAACAGTTGAATCCCTACAACACTATTTTATCCGTAAAATTTATCACCTCCCTTGGGCGGACAGCCTGGCCAAGGAAGGATCAAATACTGAGTTCGTCGGACCACAACCGGTATTACCCCACTCTTTAAGCACAGCAAAAGAGAGTATAGGTAGCTGGGGCATGAAACAATTCCTTAAGGAATGGAATATGTCCCCCGGATGCAGGCAATCGAAGGAGTTTCTTAAGNTTTTTTTTACTCTCTTTTGTTTATCTAATAAAGTACTTTTTCATTCATTCATTCATTGATGAATACTGCATGATGGCATGAGGCAATGAGTTTTGGGTTGAGTATTTTTCTATACTGGACTCCATGAAATCTATTACTGTATGAATCAGAAAACTGATGAAGTAGGCAAAAAGCATGAAGCGAAATGTTAAAAGTAGTCAAATGTACAAGTCTGTATAATGTATCTATATGTTGTGAGATATTCTCATCTTTTTTATTACGTTTTATTTTTTTTAAAACCCAGTTTTTAAAAATAACATATACAAAGGTAAGGAGAAAAAAGTATATACAATACAATGTAAAAATTTTTAGCATTGTGTAATAATATTTATTTTTCTAAATTGTATTATGATTTATATGTTCCTTATTTATTATTTTTAATAAAGAGACTTTAAAAATTTAACTAATTTAAAGTTTAAATAACTTAACTCGACATTTTAGCTAAATAAAATTATTTTGCTTTAAGTAATGAGGAAACGGAAGTATTAAATAAATCAACAGTATTGCAAATTTCAATTAATTAGTTTTTATGTAAGGTCTTGATTGAGATAAAAAAGTCAGTGTCACGAGCGGGATTCGAACCCACGACCTTCGGCTAAATAAGCCTCTTCTCACCACTTGAGCTATCGTGACTTCAATCCACTAGGATACCAACTCTCCATCTCAACCTAAAACTGTTCGAATTTAACCTCTTTTTGCCATTTTCATTATTGTATTGCATATGTTTTACATTCTATCATGATGCGATATATCGGGAGTGCAGTGAAAAATTTGTTCCTTTATATTCAATAAAAAATATTTCCTGATTTATGAGGTGGAACATAAAATTGGAGTTTACCCAGGATTTCAGGGGGAATTAATTAATTTAAAAAAAACAAAAAAACAAATAATCTCAAAATATTTTCTTCTGCAGCTAAGATCAGAAATATTGAAGTAAGAATTAATGGAAGTATGAGAGGATTTATCATTGTGACAGTTTAATTTGAAATATACCATATGAAGAAATTTATTTTGAACAGTTTGAAGAAGTTTGATATCAGTGAAAAAGTGTGGATTCAAGATGAATGAGGCATATTCAAGAATATGTCGAACAAGTGAATTATATACATGGACATAGCAAGAAGGATTTTTGAACTGATTGGTACTTCGGATGATGAAGCCAAGCATTTTATAGGAGTGATTTTGCATTTCTTGTAAATGTAGCTTAAAGGTAAGATTACTATCAAAGTTGATGCCAAAATTTCTAATACAATTTAATCTGGTTCACAAGCTGTGATTAATGGCATAAAAGTGAAAAATAAGAAATTTTTTGTAAGAAAAAGTGATAGTAAAACATTTAGAATTATTTAAGAATAGTTTGTTAGTTTGAAGTTGGAAAGATGATTGAGAGCGTTTTATAAATTAATGCAATCTAAGGCAGAATAAATTTTTGTATATATTTTTAGGTCGTCAGCAAATAAAAGAAACTCGGCACCAAATAGAGCAAGGTGAATATCATTAATGAAGAGGAGAAAGAAACCAATATGGGAGCCTTGTGGCACACCAGATAAAACAGAAAAGACTTGATTTTAACTGTTTGGGTGAGTACAGATAAATAACTGTGCAGCCAAAGCTGTAGATTTCCATATATTCCATTCGCTTCTAGCTTCTTAATAAGTATATTATGATCAATTTTGTCAAAGACCTTGGAAAAATCTACATATACACAATCCACTTGACAGCCATCAGCTATAGTGTCCAAAATGTAATTTTGATATATTAGCAATTTAGTAACTAGTAATCAGTAACTAATTTGTGCTAGAACTAGTAACTAATAATTAGTAAATTATATTTGCAAAATGATAAGCGCTTTTCATACCCATGAGAGGTGCACCCATTATGGTTTAAATATGGTTGAAAAGTTGAAAAAGTTTTGATTTGGTTGATAAAAAGGTTTAATTTGACTGAATTTAATCTGACTTCTCTTTAATATTTTGCTTATTGATTTAGGTATTCCTCTTGGCTCACATAATGGACCAATCTTATTTTTTTTTAATCTTTTTTAATGCCATTGTAAGCCGGTCCCCGTCTTAGCGATAAGTTTAAATTGTTAAAATAAGAACAAAATAGGGTAAACGATGAAAAGGGACAAAGGTTGTACTCTGAAGGGGCGACCACCCAGACGGGAACGACGTGACACATCTGGCAAATGTAGCCTGGAAATGGTTACCCAGGTAGACAGTTAGGTACGAACGTCGAAGTGTGAGGCAGACCCAGACGGGAACGACCTGACACATCTGGCAAATGTAGCTTGGAAATGGTTACCCAGGTAGACAGGTAAGAACGTCGAAGTGTGGGGCAGACCCAGGCTGGACCCACATTTTGTTTCCCACGAACCTTGGAGAACATAAAATAGCAATAGCGACAGACCACCATCTTTGCCGGCCCACCCGCGGTGTGAGAACTCCCCCAACTTTTGAGTTTCCTTTCCACCCCTACTCCGGGAGAGACCTGGTATAAAAGGGATGACTGGAAAATCAAAAGGGAGTCAAGATACAAGACTCACCCCAGTCAGTCAAGATACAAGACTCACCCCGGGCAGTCAAGACCAGGGACTCTCTCAGGAGTCACCTCGGAAGACTTGCCTGAGTCAAAATCCGAGACTCACCCCAGAGAGTCAAGACCAAGGACCAAGGGAGAAGCAGCCACACTCCGTCTGGGATTCAACAAGAGGACTCAGCCAGCCAGAGCCAGCGAGGATCAGCTGTTGCGACCAATCGAGCCAAGTCAGAGGTCGAGAGAAGAGATGCTGTGGACACTGATCGTGGCGAGCATCGTTTGGGGTAAGTCCCTTTGTTGATAGACTCATCCCAGATTTAGAGTTGTGGCTGACTTGTAGATTAAGATTCTGTGGTTTGCGTACCATTAAGAGACGGAATTGTGTACAATAAATGTTACTGAATATGCTCTCTGGTTTATTGAATTCTGGAACCTTACCTTTCCCTACACAAGAATAAGTAGCGTCGCGTTTACGCCGACTAATCTCTTGTCGCTTATAGAAAAGCAAGCGAATATCGAGAGATAATTCGGCCGCCGTGCCGTCGTCTACTTACACCATTATGATTCGTAGTCGTATAATGCTGCTTGTTGATGATATAAGTTATAAGAATGTGTGCACTTCTTGGAGGAGTTGACTGGTACTGATTTCTTTTAAGCTTAGTTTAAAATTGTGTTTCTATTTACTGACTGCCTTATTATGGGAATGAATCCTATATGGACTTTATGATCTACTGTGATGGGTCTCATAATTTATTTAAGTATCCAGATGGTACCATTTTAAAACAATCATTAAAGATATAGCTACTTTGATTTATATATTATTTGAAAGAAACCACATAACGGCTATTCTTGTTGACTTTTATCTTGATAAATATGTCACAAGCAATTCAAATTTATGTATATTATTTGCAATTCATTGAAGTTTTAATCAAAATATAATCTGTGAAGTCTGTATTAAGTTATTTTTGACTGGTGTATAGTGACTTATCCATCTTACAATAATTATAGGATTGAATAAACTAAAAACTGTAACAACACTTCAACAAACACAAAAGAATTTTTCTACAGAAAAATTCAACATATGATCGTGTTACATGTGATTCTGTCCATTCATACTATACCCTACTTCATATTTCATGAATGTATTTAAATTTGCTTTACCAGGAGACTTCACATCCGCATAAACATAAACAAGGAATCAGGAGGGAGATTATTCTGCTGCACGTTTCCCCTGGCCATGGCCAAATCGCAGAGTAAAGGTGATTTCAATGAATGTTCTTTAGCAAATAAAGAGAGAAATTTGTATGTCGGTTGTATATGGCCATTGATTTTACAGATTTTCAGGCTGTAGATGGGCCCAATTCGCCTAAAGATGTCCGAGCAAATTTGAAGGATAGTTGGGCACAAACAACACCAGATTTGAATTATGGTTTTACATTAAAACATCCGCTGACATTAGTAATATAATACAAACTTAGTTTTGTTTATAAGTACAAAGAACAGTAATTGACAATCAATTGTTTGAAAAGGAAGATCCGGATGGTATTGACTTGTTCCACTTGGGATGTTATCTCGGATGGAAGGCTAAACCGTTCTTCCAGTCACCTCAAAAAGTAATGTTTTATCATATTCAGTAAACCTTTTTATTTAAAAGAAAATTTATTTTATCATTATTTTTATTTTATTTGCTTTTTATTTATTATTTATTAAGGTTTTCTCAAGACCAGTAATCAATGTTGGAGCAACTGAAATAGAGGAAACAGGAGACACAACTCTTTCCCAAGAAGTACAAAAAGGCCGTATCGAAGTCAACAAAGATTCCGGTGATCACGGCCCAGTGATTGAGGTAAAATATTACCATGTAACTTTGTAATGTGTTGATTAAAGTACACTTTTAGTCATCCCAATCATCGGCGAAAAAAATATCCAAGCAGCTCACATCAGAGTTTATGAAGAGTTATTCCGAGAATGAAATGTTTCTGGCAAAGTGGTTGGGAGGAGATGTACTGAGTAAAGAAGAACCTGCAGTAAGTAAGTGAAAAATAAGTAATATAACCTTAATTTTCAAATTTGCTTTAAACGCATCATATTATTGCAGAGCTTGCATAGTACTGTGTTGACAACTATTGCCGAAAAAGATGAAATTGTATGTTAAAACGTATTAAAGCCAGTGGAGAAAAAAACTCAATGCTGACAAAATAAACTTTTTAAGGTGCAGCCAAAAATAACGGAAACACCAAACGTTCTAAATGAACAAAAAGAACAATGCAAAAATGATAATATTGAGGAAAATAATAAAGTGGAAATAGAGGATATATTGTCTGAAAGTGAAGAATTAATAGTCGTAGAGCTACCAAATAAAGCTGAAAAGACACAAGAAGAAAATGAAACTCATCAAGAAATAGGTGCAAATGGTGATAATGATGATAAACAACCTAATAATCACCAAAATCAAATCAATAACAATGTAATGCAAGTAAGTATTATAATAAAATGTCCTGAGACAGCTAATATTCATTCAATTATCTATATAAAAAACTTAAGGTTTAATTAGAGGGTTAGACCATTTTAAGGTTTAACATTTGTGAAGTAGTTAAAACAAGTTAAAATTCAAGTAGTTATAATAAGGGAATTTTTAAAAGAGTAGAAGTTGAGGTATATCAACCAAAAGAAAATATGATCTAAATGTAAATATTAATTAAAATTTTTTTTTTTTGTAGCAATAGTGAAATATATAACGTTAAGTGTTGAAATAATAATTAAAAACAATTACTTGCCGCAATTTTCTTTTTAACAATGTAACATTATTCTATAATTAATATAAATTATACTAGATCATTTATATAACATATTAGAATGAATGTATTTATTTGCATGAATGAAGGAGCTTATCCCTAATTTTCTCTGAGGAATGTCATGTTCTCTTGGATAATGTGAATGAATTGTTGTGTGTGAAGATAATTTATTGGCACAAATGTGTGGGTTATCCCTTTACCCTGAGGAATATCGAGTAGTGGAAAGTGTGAATTTAATTTATTAGCATGAATGAAGGGGTTCATCCCTAATTAACCCAAGGAATAGCATGTGTGAATGTATTTTATTAGTATAAGTTGAGAGCTTTATCCCCAATTACACTGAGGAATATCAAGAATTCTGGGGTAGAGTGAATACTAACCAGATTATTATGTTTTGTTTATGTTTTTATTATTTGTGTTATTTTATCCACAATTGATGAAGCATTGAGATATAGAGAGGCTAGTAATAGGATAAAGAAAAAGTAGAGTCAATTAACGTTACATCATATAACATTATAATTTGGTTAGAGACATATTAAAAAAATTAGCAAGATAAGAAAACGAGATGAAATATGAGAGAGTCAGTGACAAAGATGCATGGGGGAAAACCGAAGAATATTCACTTAAAGCACACAGACCACTTGACATTTCTTGACACATAAAACCCATATAAACATTAAAATAAAATTCACTAGTTTCGGGTCCGCTTGACCAATTAATATCTTACAATTAATTAGGGTTTTCAGTTGAGATAAAAAAGTCAATGGCACGAGCGTGATTCGAACCCACGATCTTCGGCTAGATACGTCGCTGCTCTACCACTTGAGCTATCATGACCTCGGTCCACTCAGACACTAACTTTCCATCTCAACCTGGTTTTTGGAGGGAAAATTCAAAAGTTGAGGTTGTGATGGAAAGTTAGTGTCCGAGTGGATCGAGGTCACGATAGCTCAAGTGGTAGAGCATCTGCGTATTTAGTCGAAGATTGTGGGTTCGAATCCCGCTCGTACCATTGACTTTTTTATCTCAACTGAAAACCTTAATTAATTGTATTAAAATAAAATAAAAAGATTAAAATGTTCAAAAGATAGGAAAAGAATAGTGGTCTGATGATGATCAATGTAGTTTACTGGCCTTAAAAGACAATAAATAATAATGGCCAATGGAGCTATTAAAACATAACATCAATGAATAATTTTATAAAACTGTAATAAAATTATGGTCACATAACAATCTCAGTAAATAAGATGAGTCATCTCATTCTTAATTTATCTTAGAATTGACACTGATAACATTAAAAATTAAATAATTAAGTTAATCATATGTGCTTAGTAGTCATAATTGACCCTATTAATTGGAGTATTAAATAAAGATTGAAGGTTAGATCTCACAGGCAAAAATAAAATTACAAATTATTTACATTGTCAGGAAAGCTGTACAAGCCTCCAAACCTACATTGTAGACCAGGAGGAACATGATGAAATCACGTTGGAGGAAAGCAGTTCAACCGTGGTATGTGCGAATTCATATACGCAATAATTTCAATTTGCATAAACATATAATTCAAGATTCTTCTAGTGTACAGAAGTCACCATAACTGGTGAACTGAGTGAGGGAGGTGAAATTGAAAGCGATTACGACGACAATCTGGATAGTGTAAATAGGTAAAAGAAAGAATAAAATATTTTTTATATTAATTGAAACGGGATTTTAGGACAGGGCAGAGTCTATTATTTACATAAAGTACTGTTGCGATAGAGCCAACAGAGATTACAGTTCAGATAGATACGAATATGAAACTGAAGACATTGATGGTGTCAGTACTTCAATATGATCCTATACTAAATAGATTTTAATACTATTAATATTACTTTTTTACATTAGGAAAGTGAATATTGCCTCTGGGATGAAAATATCGCTTCTCCAGATGATGGAGATGCTGAAAGTGTGAAAACTGACAGTTGCTCAAGTATAGAGTCTGCTAAGGTCTGTTTTGTTGTGCTGTTGTCATTTAAAAAATACAGAGATTGATTATTGCAGTCCACTCATTATACTTCAGCCTACAGCCAAGAACAGAATTGTTTCGTACAAATTCTAGATGAACTGAGAATCATCAAAGAAGACATTCAGAGACAGGCAAGCAAACAGAACAAGGTATACTTATAGTTAGTGATTGTAATATGATATTCTATTTAAGTATTTCAATATTATTTATTAGACCCAAGAAGAAATTTCTGTTCAACAATCGAGCAGCAAAGAACAATCTGTAAATGATGAGCAAATGGTCTTTGCAGATGACAAACAACCTAAGGTAGTAATAACGCATCATTTAAAAAGTTAACTATTCTGTACCGTAATATTTTTTGTTTAAAGAAAAAAAAAGTAAGTTCTCAGAACCACCAAGAAAATTAGGTGTATTAAATGTAATTTCTCCATTAATTTCAATTTTTTTTTAAAGATCTCTATAGAAATTACTGAAAAATGTGATAATTGTCACCAAAAGCAAGTTTTACAGGACTACATTCAGATTATGACAAGAATCCAAAAAAGAGTAAAATTGATTTAGAACCAATTATAGACAACAAAAAACACGTACAATTATTATTTTTGTCATTTAGCTAAGCGATGGCACGTCAGAATACAGAGCCCTTGAAGACATTAACCTCATATCGCAATCTGAAAATATTCTTGAGCCTCTGATGAGAATGAGGGAAACTAACAAAGACCCTGACATTGATGAAGTGCTGCAGACGATTATCGATAGCAAGTCCAGTAGCAGCAAAAGCGTGAGTTCAGAAGACACTAATGTGGCAAATAGTGATACAAAGAACCAAGAGATGGACGAGTCATAAAATTAAGCAACCAGTTGTATAGAATGTTTCCCTCTTTAAACAACCATAGTAAAAAATACATCATATATACACATTTTATATTTGTGAATTAAAACATGTTTTTCACTTTAATTTTGTTTATATGTGTGTTAATCATAAAAACGAAAGCTACTGAACCGATCATACTTTGTTTTTATTAGTGCCGGGCAGGTTTAGAGACTATAAAATGGGAATATAACAAATAATGTGCATCAGGATTTACAAAAAAGAGAGATAAAACTTTTTATTATCTCCGTGGGCAACGCCAGTTTGTCAGCCTGTTCAATGCTTTCAGTTATGTCCTGCCACCCATATCACTTCATTTTCCCAGGATTTGGTGATGTGATAGCCTTTCCCAGACCAGTTTTTGTTGAATGTGGAGGAGTCTAACACTTTCAGTCTTGCTTGGCTAACTGTTAAGTATATCTGCACATCTTTTAGAGCATTTCTCATGTGAGTTTTATCACAAGGATCGCAGCATGGCAAATTGATGGTGTGGAAATGAAAGGTTTTTTGGTTTTTAACTCCTGCCTTTACTGACTTTCATTTTGGTTCCATCTATATTTTATTTTTATTTTTTATGAGAGTTCACAACAAATGGGTGTCAATGCTTTGTTTAAAAAAAGCCCATTTGTAAGTATGTCGGGTTTGAATGCAGGGCCACTGGCTTTGAAACCAGGATCTTTTTTTTTAATTTTATTTAATTATAAAGGCATACAACCACGATGGGTCAAAACTGCCTTGATGATGAATTAATCAATGAGAGAAGAAAACAGAGAACGATAAGCCAGGAGGGGCAGGGACATCAAGAGCGAGTGCACCCCCACAGCGAACTGGATACCACAAGACCAGGCAAGAACCAGACACCCAGACCAGCTCCTCTCCACACAAGACCTTAGTGAACCCAGGATCTTACATTCAGTGATGAGCACGGTGTTACCATAATCAAATCCTTATATTAGTTTCAGCATTTTTATTCACCCAAAATCCCATAGTTCAGACGATAGTCAGAAATTTCAGTGTACAGTGTGCTCCATTTTTAATTTTCGGCTTAGAATTTCAATTTTTTGGTCTCATTTTCACCTTTTTGCAAGTTTAAGTTTTAAAAAAATTGGAAGATGTTCTCAACTTTCAATTCTAATTGTACAAATATCTAATTAAATTTACTCACAAAAGTTAAGTACATGTTTTCCTAAAAAAACTCACTGCTCTGGTCTGTTGATATTGTTGGTGATATGCTGAAAACCATCTGTCAGATGCTCCAACAATTTTTTCAACATCTGGCCAGCTGAATCCTAAAGGATTTGATTTTTTTATGCACAGTTCCAGCAATCTACAGTCAAAAATGAAATGGTTATAATGACTGTACACAAGATGTATGATAGGATGTTATCTGAAAATTTAACATACCCTTTCATGCCTACTTACCTCACGTATATAAGTTTCTCACATTTTTCTTTGTTTCATTTCAACTTTATCTCTATCTCATTCACTATATCTCTTCTTTTAATTTTGTTTCCTGCCGACCAAACAGAGGAGTGTTTTGTTACTCGTTCCTACCATCCCACATATAGTTTGTTAAAAATACTTCAATATTTACAGACTCACTAACAATACGCACTCACGCCAAGAAAATGATTACCTAATCTACAGATGGCAGGGCTCAGAGTACAGGTGCACGACTGAGGTCCTGCCCCTACAACTAAATAAAAAGTCAGTAAGATAGTCATAATCCTACCGACTTCCTTCCATTCGTGCTAATAAATACATTCATACAGTATGTACAGAATTTCATTCATCCATTAGACTAATTTCCTTTTGACGGGCTTGTGGAGTACTCGATATTCCTCGACATCCACGTCCATTTACACAAAACATTCACGCTAATAAATACATTCATATTGGAGAGGTCGCAGCATTTCAGTAGTTACTACAACCTTGATAGCGGTGACCTGTTCCTCACATTACACAACAAATATATAATTACATAAACTAATTTAGCGGAGCTGAGAGCTACTCAATATTCAGTCATACCTACGTCGGGAAAAAATTAGTTTGTTGACCATGGATAAATTTATTAGGTTGCTTTCCATTTTTCCAATATGCATTTTATCTTCTTGAATTTAAAATAACTTTTTAATCGCTTATTGCACTCAGTTATGAGTTGCAAATCTGCCAATTCCTGCTTAAGAGCTGTTTTTATTTAATCTACTGTATGCTTTGACTTAATTAAAAATCATTAATCCACCCTTTACCGAGATTTTGACTATATTCATGTTTCTTTTAATCAATGATTTTTTTTTGTAGATTATTGATTAAATGTAGTTTTTTCTGTCTGGCATAAGACAGAATTTGTATATGTTCTTCAAATACTTGTAGATTGCAAAATCCTTTGCTTGATTATTGACACATCCCTCGTTGAGTCAGGCCTTTGGATCTCCTTACCTGTAAAAACCTGTTAGGATTGGTGGGTGGCATGTTCACGTTGGAATTTAAATAGAGCATAATATAATAAATCAATCAAAATAAATAATTATTATAATTATATTCAGTTAGCTGTTGTAATGGATGTAAGACTCCTTATTGCTCAACATTTGGTAAAGTGGAAAGATCTGTGGGTAACTATCGATAGTAATATTTAAAATGTGAAAAATACGTTACTCGTTTTTTAAGTACTCTCCTACAGATCCGACGCAGTTTTTCTTTTTTTGAACCAGCGATTTTATATAAAAAAATATAACTTCTGTTTATTCTCTAAAGTTAAAAATAAATGGCCAATTTTACTGCCATTATTGAATTATCCTGTCAGCTGAACTGAAAATAATCAACGGGACTGAATGGGTGGGCGGAAGAGGCAGAAAAAGCCATTGGTCAGGGACTCAAAGGAAAGTTTCGCCGTTGGACCGGCCGTCCTCCATTTCACGCTGGTTTTTTCAGATCGGATAAAACGCGACAGGAAAAGCCACCCTTTTCGGTTTTCCGACCTTCCACGTATACCTATAGTGTGTCGTAATTGAAGCGTACACGGGAAAAGGGGAAAAACAAAACGAGGGGAAAAAAGGAGAAACAGATCGGAGACCTGAAAACCGTCCAACTCGAGATCCTTTGATTACAAGAAGAGTTTAACGGAAAAATATTTTTTTACTCTTTAAAGAGCCGGTTCAACTGATCAAGCTTCACAACTGTATTTATTTTAACAGTTTGCTTAAAGTAAGGCAAAGGTGGAAAAACAATTTGGCCCAGTCATATTTGACTCAACCCCTGTAAAAACACCTAGTTTGATGAATCACAAAATCGAGCAGTGATTCTTCAAGAAAAGTTCAAAAACCGTTTCCTTCATTTTATTATACAGTAACTGAATGAATTTCATAGAAATAAAAGATACTAGTTATAAAAAATAGATCATGTCTACTGAAAATTTTGGAAATTTGAAACATGAAAAAATGTCCAAACCATATACAACACTCACAAAAAGGCTTGTTTTGTTTTGCTTTTTTATTTCTACTGTAATAAAATTAGATGAAAATAATGTAATGATTATTCAGAAATCGTGAGATGCGGTCTTTCGATCTTTACTGAGATCATCTTCAGGGCTCAAAGTGTTTGTCTTCTGTGTAATTGTGCCATTCTTGCGTGTCGTGTTGAGAGAGCCAGTCTGGAAGATCGAAACGTTGGCACGATAAAGAAAATGTTTTTCTGTAACCTACATCACACCAGACCGCATCTCAAGATTTCTGAATAATTATTGACTAACGGTAGCTAATCACCACACGTAATGACTTTGTTTGACTCTATCGGCACCATTTTGTTGGAATTTCGCTTACCGTGACTTATTAAACGGGTTGTGTAAATAAATGAATCCAAATTGTTAGGATGGCGCCTTCCTCTATCAATCCATAAACTCTCGTTGACCTCACTATATTTTCAAGCTACTTCAGTTCACATCCTCTATCCACTCTCTTAACACCCGCTCATTTCCCAATGACCTATCTCTTCCACATTTGATATGTCCTTCAAAGCTCGAGCCACAAATCCCTGGAATTCTCTTCTTCCCTTACCATGCACCTAATCCCCCACCAAACAGAGACATCATAGTCCAACAATATTATTAGATCTTTTTGCTACATAATAAAGCTTGTTTTCTTCCTTTTCTCAACTTTTAAGTTTACAGTTTGTGATTATGTTCGCATAAGATAGAGAATTCTTCATTATTACTACTAAATCCATTTTGTTTATTGGTCTAATTGACCAAATTGCTTCTTTCAATTAACTATTCTTCTATNAACTCTCTCTCTCTCTCTCTCTCTCTCTCTCTCTCTCTCTCTCTCAAAAATTAGAAGAAACAGAATTTTTCAAGGGATTTCGGTTTTACTCTGGCCAGACCGACCGCAAGATCTCAACTTGAGAACTTGTAGTTTGATCGTTTCTGATCGTTTCTTCCTGGATATTTTGTCTGTCAGAAGCGTTTTGAGTTTCAGTAGTTGGCCAGGAATATAAGCAGGGCGAGGCAACACAAACACTAATGTCGTAAACGGCAGTGTTACTGGTTTATTATCCTTAGACCCCAGGAATAAATCTTAAAAACGGACACAGCACTTATACATGGCGAAAAGATGAAACTTGCCCTACAGACCAAAACTGCAAGTATTGATTATTAAATGTACCAATTATAGAGAACTGTTGGTATGTTTTTCTGGAGCTGTTCATGAACTAGTGAAGCAGAACTTTTGGAGTAATTAAAAAATTTCATTAACGAAAAAGTGGGACAAAATCGGGCAAAAATACCTCCATGAGTGTTCGTATGTACAGGGTGTATCAACTTCTATATCCACCCATTTAATTCGGAAACGATTAACATTAGCAAAAAATGGTCTTATCTCCAGCTGGGAAATGACACTAACTTTGTTAGTTTGAATGAGAAGCCCATATTTTTATTGTACAGTTCGATTCTAGAGCTTATTTTATGCCACTTTATTGCAAGGAAAGTTTTTGATAGGATAAACCATTTCTGAGTTATGCCCGAGGGAAGACTAGCTAGGTGAGAAAGTTATGTTAAATCTTTTATCCCCACGCGATTAAAAATTAATTTGGCGTTTGTATAGGACCATTTTTTGCTAATGCTAATTGTTTTCGAAATAAATGGGTGGATATAGAAGTTGATACACCCTGTATATACAAACACTCACGAAGGTATTTTTGCCTGATTTTGTCCCACTTTTTCTTTAGTAGGGCCATCTCGTTGTTACAAAAAGCACACCCTCTCACGCCTCTTCCGCCAGGCATAACTCAGTGGTCGATCCTATCAAAATTTTCTTTCAGTAAAAGTGGCATAAAAAGCCCTAGAATCGAATTGTACAACAAAAATATGGAATTCTCATTTAAGATAACGAAGTTATTGTCATTTCCCAATTAGTGGACTTGTATGTGTATGTGTGTGTGTGTGTGTGTGTGTGTGTGTGTTTTATCCCTCCCTCCACCTCCCCGCCGTACCTTAGGGAGACACCATACCGGTGGACCTCGGCCTCTAATCTAGTTTTGCTTCTAATTTTGGGTCTTGGGGTTAACGCCTTCCTTCGGTCTCACTCTGTGAGGGAAGGAGGCCCAAGGAAGGTAAGGGTAAGGGCAAATTCTTGTATTTCTTGCTGATTATTTGTTCCTATTCTAAAAGGTCTCCCCTTGCTGGTTACTCCTTTGACAATTAAATATTCACATATTGATTGTACTACATATAATTGATTAAAGCCTTAATAAATAAGGAGTAAACAGCCCGAATTTTAAAAATCTAAAAAAAGAACAAAGCACTATTAACCTACCTTACTTAATTCGTCTACTGTGTACCTATCTTACAATTTATCGCTATAAATAAATAAATAATTAAACAAATAAATAAATAAATAGGTGCCTAGTTTACAATAGCTTGGCTTATTGCCTTTAGCGTTTCGAAAGCGCGCTTTTCTTTTATTAGGTCATTATTGTTGGTGGCCATATAGTGTGTATGTATGAATATTTTATTTTATTTTTTCGATAAAAGAAAATTTTGCCCTTAATTTGTCTCCTTATTTTTGCCAATAAATATTTTTTTATGCTATGGAGAGTCACGCAGAGTTGGTTGTTGTTCGAGGAGGGTCTTTTACGGCCACTCTCTATGTGGATGAAATTTTGGAACATCATGCGTTGCCTATCCTCGATGAAATTAGCGACAACCCTATTCTCAGGGTCTTAGCTGGCCAGCCCGTTCTCAAGACTTGAACACCGTCGAAAATTTATGGGATAACCTCAAAAGAGAATAAGAGCACGTCCGTCACTTACTGATACACTCCACGATCTTGAATGGACACTTCGTTAAGAATGGGCTAACCTCCAGCAAAAAGCCATTTCCAGACTGGTAGAAAGCATGCCGAAGCGTTTTCGAGATGCAATTAAGGCAAGTGGAAGAAATACGTGATATTGAAATATTAATTAAAATCCTAATTAAAACAAATTTTATCTGTCCGTCTTTGTTTTTCATTTCTCATTTTCCTTAGCAATTTACACTTTTTTAAATTTTTGTTAGACAAAGATCAATTATGAAACGTTAAAAAACTTGGTTTTTCGCCATCTTCGTGTTTTATATTCGTGTTATTATGTCATTCATGTTCGTAAACCCACTGTAGGCTATACAGATTCAGCTCTGAATATAACGAGAAGATAAAATGCGTCTAACAAACCAAAACAGGAAGTATGGGCGCATCAAAGTAGTACAAATCAACATAGACGTTTTACAGGTTTGAAATAAATTCGGTTATTACGACTGACCGGTCAATTTTTGTGTCTATGAGGTAGTTTGCCGACTGACGATAGGTCTGGAGGACATGAAGGTTCCGCTATATCAGCTCGGTCGAATTTCGCTATCGGGAATGTGCTGTCTCATTAATTTAATCAATCTTTTGTATCAATGGCAAACGTTCCACCGGATGATTTTGATGATAACGCGAAGATAATGAGATGTTCCCCATCGAAGGACATCATTGATTTCGTATCCGCCGCACCACTTTCACTAAAAACCGTGACAAATGGAATTAAAATCGTTCCGTTTTCTCAACTCAGCCGGAAACGGTCAAAAAGAAAGAACTCTATCTTATTCAAAAGCGCATTGGCTAACAATGGCTTCTGGAAAGAAAACAAACAATCGAACTGACAAAAAATTCAAATAAACAGGGTCGCTTTGGTCATAAATAAACCTGGTGAAAGTATTTTAAGATTCAATGTCCCTAAGGAAAATGTGTTGAAAACAGACAAAAAATTAGCGAATTTATATTTTTAAGATATCGATGAGCACCTTAGTTACAATTCGGATTTATTTTCAGCACTCTTTATCGCCCTTGTATACGAATTTTTATAGCAAACAAAAATAGCAATGTAGCACTTTCCACTTAACAATATAACTCTTGAATTTTATCTAAATTAAACTTCTTTAAATTATTAATTTCTATACTTTCAACTCAATAACGTTTAGATTTTACGTCATTATAGTGAGAAAAATAAGATTGAAGTGAACAATACTATCTCGTTTTATTTCATATCTCGAATTCTAATTTTATTATGGTGTCCAAATTTATACCATTACCTGTAATTTGTAGGGTTCTAAACCCCTGTAAATTTTCCTGCAGATCGGTGGAGTTTCAACATTATAACCATGTTTGTGATTTTTTTTTTTAAATTGGAAGCATTGCGAAATTCATCCTATATATTGAAATAAAATATATAATAATTTTATGACCGAGCGACATATCAAAGTAGGTTACATCACTTTTTTAAATAAGAAACAAAGAGTATTCGTTTTCTGTACACCAAATTTTCAGGAAAATAAAAAAAATGATTATTTTGATCCAGTTTTTATCCTACCAAATTTCTTTCAATTTTTTTTTAAATCACAAAAATAGTGATAACTTTGAAATAACTCTTAACAATCCACAAGAAATCCCGCCTGTGACACGGATTTTTCATTTCGAAAAAATTGTGTATAATTAATTGAGTATTTATATATTTAATAGAAGCTGATAAAATTTAGTATTAATCTAGAATCACACCTGTGAATCGTACACAGTCCCGCTAATCTAGTACAATCGTTAATAAAAAGTGTTTCTATATGAAGCCGCGATTTGCTTACAATTAGAATAAAATCGGGTAGTCGAAATGAGAAGTTTGTGGCATGGGCGATCGAAGTCACGGTAGCTCAAGTGGTAGAGCAGCGGCGTATTGAGCAAAAAGTCGTGGGTTCGAATCCCGCCTGTGACACGGATTTTTCATTTCGAAAAAAAATTGTGTATAATTAATTGACTATTTATATATTTAATAGAAGCTGATAAAATTTCGTATTAATCCAGAAGAAACTTCACAGGGCTTTAGGTCTTTATAAAATACACATAATGGTAAACTCAGTCTCAGTAAATAAATTAGAATCTTGGATACAAAATAAAACATTTCGGGAGTTTTTGCAATGTAGCAAGTTAGGGCTAGATCGGCCGGTAGCAATTTTTTTCCTGGCTTTTCACTTAAAAATTTATAAATCCTGAATTTTCTAAATTCAACGTTTTTACAAACAATTAATTAAGGTTTTTAGTTGAGATGAAAAAAAGTTAATGGCACGAGAGGGATTCGAACCCACGACCTTCGGCTAGATACGCTGCTGCTCTACCACCTGAGCCATCGTGACCTCGATCCACTCGGACATCAACTCCACATCTCAACCCCACCTTATGAGTTTTCCCTCCTTTTGCCATTTTTCAAACATTGTAATGCTTAGTACTACTTTCTAGTCTACTTTCAGCCTGTATCAACAATTAGATTTTTTTATTTAATTTAGATTTGATATCATTATAAATGAGAAAATAATTTCCAAAATTTGTATCCAGGTGTTTTTGAATCGAACTAAGTAAAATAAATAATTATTTTGTGACCGAGCAATGTAGAAAAGTAGGTTAACATATTCTTTTTAGGAAGATACAAAATTGATAATTGCCTTTTGCATCCCTAAAACCCCTGAATACAAATCTTTGTGGGGAAAAATGCTAGACTTATTTATTATGTGTTCTCAACGCCGACGATTTTTCTTTTCTAAAATCACAAAAATCGTGATTACTTTGAAACGTCTCTAACGATCCATTAGAAACTTTAGAGGGGTTAAGGACCCTATGAACTGCACGTAATGGCCTAACTTTTGGCCTCCGTCATGACATAAAATCTAAGTGTTGTTGAGGTAGCTAATTGAAGATAACTTTGAACCGACTTCACAGATCTACCGAAATCTTTACATGGGTTTAGAACTTTGGCAACTACATGAAATGGCATTAATGTCGTCTCCGTAAATAAATTATAATTAAAGATATAAATAGTTTGGCGTATTTTTTACATTTGTTTATATGTTTTATTGTTTTTATGTTGCAGACCACCCCTAAAGACGCACGTTGGTATGCCTTTTTGTTGACTTCATCCTTATTTTTCTCACTTATAATGACGTAAATTATAAACGTCGTTGACATGGCCTGAAAGTATAACAATCCACCTTTCCAACGGTTGTAACATCGTCGAATTAGGATGAAATCCAGAGGAGTTATGAATTTTTCAGTGTAACAGCAGGAGGCCAGACAAAAGGATCCTCGGAAGGATACAGCCTAAGGATGTCTAATTTTTTATTTATAGCGTGCTTAAATCAGCCAAACTCAACCCTGAACGAAATACCGAAACGCATCCAATTAACAAAATCAGCGAGGATAATCAGACAGGATCAGGATATATAATCAGAATCAGGATAATCATCAATGTGATGGTGATGAGGATACTAGGAAGCGAGGTTTGTGCTCCTCAGGCGCTACTGTCTTCTGGCTTATTGTACCTTCCTAGCTCCCTAGTTTAGTGCAATCGACTCAATCCTTCTTCTCTGAAGTATTAGGTCATCGATTGTTGATGCTACAATTTCATTCCCTTGGTTTTTTCTGTATGCTAGTTTAAGGTAGGCCGTCCACTGGAACCGTGTACGGCCGACCGAGTTCGGCCGTTCAACAGCCGAACTATTTGTCCTAACAGAAGACCGGCAATATGGCCGAACGCCGTCTTCCACTGTAGCCGATTTTCGTCAGTTCACGACACAGCCCAAATGGATGTAGAAGTCTTGTTGCTGCTCGAAAATTCTTACTTTACATACAAACGGAGGGAAAGAAATAAACAAAAATATTGGGTACACCCAATATTGAGAGAAAGAAAAGAATTTGGTGAGTTTAACCACTTACATAGTCAGCTTCTACATAGTCAGCTTGAGAGTGAACGACACGCAAGAATGGCACAATCACACAGAAGACAAACACTTTGAGCACTGAAGATGATCTCAATAAAGATCGAAACGTTGGCACGATAAAGAAAATGTTTTTCTGAAACCTACCAGACCGCATCTCACGATTTCTGAATAATTATCGATTAACGGTCACTAATCACCACACATTGTGTACAATGTGTATGTGCATTATGTACAATTATTTTGTTTTACTTTTAATCACCGTTTAAGAAAAAATATTTGTATAGTTACATAGCTAACAAGAAAAAGAAAACTACATTATATGTAGTTATTTATTTTTTATTTATTTATATATAATATGTAATACATCCCTTGCAGATAGATTGAATTCTATTATTACAGATATATTTATAGAAATACGTACAAGTATTAAGATAAGATAATTATAATAAAAATAATATATAATAATTAATATTAGTAAAAAGAAATTATATAATACTAATAATAACACTAGAGTAAATACTAGTACTACTACTACTAATAATAATAAAGTGGGAAGTTTATAGGCCGACAAACAGCTGAGGTCATCGCCGGCCCTCTGCGTGTTTTCCTTATTTTTCTCTTCTTTCGCTCATATTTTATTTTAAACTGCAACCATTTGAGCGTCTCGATCTGGTTACTGACTCTCTGATTTCACACTACGTTGGTCGAAAAAAAAATGAAAAATCCAAAGTATAAATACCCAAAACTGAAATATCTCACTGGCACTCTCAACACGACACGCAAGAATGACACAATTACACAGAAGTCAAACACTTTGAGTAAGTAGAAATACTTTGATTGAATATATAAAAAAAAATATAAATACATATATAAGTTATCGGATATTATCAGATTGCAATGCTAAGATGCAGGTGGCATTCTCAGAATTGCAATCAGCACTCTCTCCCACCAGGGAAACGTAATTGTTTATAATTTAAAATGTAAGAACATTCCTTGCCTAGAAACCAGTGAAGTCACATCATTGTAATTGGTAAACTTAATTATTCTTTGTCAACTGTATTTCGCAAATAAAGTTTTTAAAAAGGAATCANATGATCTCAATAAAGATCGAAACGTTGGCACGATAAAGAAAATGTTTTTCTGAAACCTACATCACACCAGACCGCATCTCACGATTTCTGAATAACTGTCTTTAATAAGATTTTTTTTAAATTTTGCTTCACATTTCCTCAGCTCCAGCAAAAATTTTGTATTGTTTGTAGCCTAACTCGTCCCTAACCCTATCTAGCCCATTCTTACCCTTAACATAACTTAATCTAACCCTAACCCTAACTTAACCCAACCCATGTGCATTCCACAGTAACAAAATTATGTACGCAAAAATGGTGTATGTTCAGACCAACAAGGTATCCATGTTAAATTGGAACATTTATATTTACTACACATAGAAAGACAAGACTAGAAAAAAAACTATATTCAACTGATCAAACCGACTCGTCTAAAGTCTAAGCAACAGTGAGTTTGCCAGTCTTGGTGAGAGGGTTGTTTTAACTTAAGTTTACTGAGTCTAGCGCCGCTAGAGTTTAATCATTTCTCCTTTTGTTTTACTTGGATCCATTCTGCGATAGAGGATTCTGTATTTGTTTTTGTTGTCCCAAGTATAGATTCGGGGCCTGTCTATGGTCTTGCAGATCCTCTGGCCAGTGTGTGTGCTTTTTCGTTACTCAAAATTTCCTTTGTGCCCTGGCACCCAAGATATCATCAGGATGTTGTGTTTCCCCAGGTTTTGGAGATTTTGAAATCATTCACTGACTAATTTTGATGTGATTTTTTTACATGCTATCTGCTTGGCTATGAGATCTTCTGAGGATTTTTTTTGCCAGTGTAACCGCTTTTAAGAATTTCTAGGGCACAAGCGTTGATGCATGTATTTCTGCTTGAAAGACCGACGTGTACTTCCCTAAGCGGTTTGATTGTTCATATTTTGGCTTGTGCAGAAAACACCCGATCCAGTTCCTTCGTTTGTTTTGGGGCCATCTTTGTACCGTATCATTCATTGTATCTGATGCTCCCCTGAGTTCTTCTTCTCCTTTATAGTCCGTTGAGACTTTATTAGTATGTTGCAAATTCCTGGATCATATAGTCAGTCCCCATTTCTAAGGATGGGTGTCTGATTTTATTAATTATGGTTGTGTGCCTGAATTGTTTAGTTTCTATCCAATTTGATCGTTTTTGGAGCCTAAAGGAGCTTTTCCTAGCCTCTCTTTGCGGAGGTAGGTTTAGCATTTCTAGTACACTTGCAACGGTTTTTCTCATTGCTCCTGTGATACATGGGTTTGCTAATCTTTGTATTCTGCCTAGTGATTGAGTAGCTACTTTTTGTTGAGCCTTGGCTCACCAGAGACCCAAGAAGATATCTCCGCAGATCACAAGAGGAAATCTCACAATTTAAGTTTTTATTGCTTTTTCTTTTCGTATTTAAGGTCTTTAATGGGTGCTTAAAACGAATCTCATTTTTTAAAATGAAAAATTTGGCCTAATTATTGAAATCTCATTTTTGTGTTGGCGACTTTTCATATATCCAATGCCACTGATTAAAATCGAACATTCTATTTTCGTATCATTCGTAATAAAACAAATTGAATGTTGTATGATAAAACATCGAAGTGCACAACAAAGGCAGAAAAACTTGTTTTAAAAGTTTTGTAAATTACTTAAAACAATATTTTCCTCGGTTCATACAGCCGTCGAACATGTACACGGGCATACGTGCCTAATATTTTTGGATCTATATTATCAAAAAAAGTTTTATTACAATAGGTGGTCCATCCATTCGTTAATGTCGCTAATTAAATTTAATGGAAATATGTGACCCCACATCGGTTGCCTCCCCTTGTTAAATGTTTCAAAAATTTTGCCTCAAGAAAAAACTTTTTTTAAAAAATAATTTGGATAGTTTTCAAAATTATAGATATTCTATTTGTCAAAATAATAAGTATTCAATATAAAAAAATGAAAATATCAACAATGTGAAAAAGGCAAATTCTATTAAATGTTTTTGAGCGGAAAATCCAGCGTGGGTGAAATAGGCCACCTCATTCACGTATACAACGCTTTTCTATTCTTAAAATTAGAAAAACATGAAAAAAAGAGCAAATAGCTAGGAAAAAAATGCACGGGTCATGATCAAGGAAAGGGAAAATGTAGGCGAATCGCTAATATAGGCCGGCCAGTAGCAGACGTGAAAAACAGTGAAATTACCCGCGAGCACCCTAAGAAGGGGTATCTCTCCCGATGGCCGGAACGATTTTGTTTTTCAACACCCGGGGATGTCATTCTTCCAGATTACTCTCTCCCGGCTATCCCGAGGGGTGCTCTTGGCGGGAGGGACCATGGATAATCGACCAACTATAAGTTTCCCGACGCCTTTTCCACCCGATCAGAGATGTTTTCCTGTTCGGTTCTCGTGGTCCTCCTCGCTTGGAAAATCGTCCACCTACCAGAAGCCAATGGATTGGTCGAATCTAACGACACCAAAACCACAACATCGCCTGTGGACGTTAAAAGGGTAAGTTTCCCCCCTTAAATGTATGAATGCATAAATCTACAACACATTTAAATAATAAGTTAAAAAAAGATAGCATTAACGCCAGAAAGATACCATAAGACTATATAAACTATAATTGATTAAAAATTAATAAAATAAGCAAACATAAAAACAAAACAAACACTTCATTGATTTTTATTTTATTGATTAATTAACCATTAATTTTGAACTATTTGAAAAAAGACAGTTAAAATTTGGTCAAATATTATCGCCAGTTTGAACAAATTGAACTAAAGCAAATAACAATTAAAATGCATACATGTCATCCTCGGAAATGGATTTATTTGATCATCATGTTTAAAAAATTTCATTCTTACAATAGACAACACACAATTTTTCACAACTCCATTCTATTTTTGACAATGTACTTTATATACTTTTCTTTCTCTAATTTAAATCAGAAACTTTAATGTTAATTAATGAAGTCATAATTAAGGAATGTAAAAGTACTATCTCAACTACATTTGGGATAAAAATATTTATATTAATCCTTAATTTGGCAAAGGGTATGGAGCTCTATTTTTAAATATTGATTATCCATTTTCAATGGAAATTCAATTTTAAATTTACATCTCTGAATATACATTACATACATTGTCCGATGTAGGCGGTGTAGAGAATCCAATGTGAAATTTACCTAACAAGGACTCATTTTAACAAATAAATCAGTTTAAAAGCTTAAAAAGTACAAGCGATAAGGTTAGAAATGATAAAAGAGTATGATGTTCAACTACTTTAAAAAATAATTCTTACTCACAGTTTGTTATTTTCAATGACCGATCGGGATTTCAATAAAAAATCTTAGAATGCGTATCCTTTCTGAATTAACAAAACCACATTCATAGAATTGTATTAAATAATACTGATTTATTTGTTTGCAACTGCACTGGATTGTTAGGGAGGGTTTGGGAAGAAAGGTGCTGGATTAGGGGGTTGGAATGAGGGCTATGGTTTTGTATCCACTTCTTGTGGTTTTGGTGGCATTTGGAGGTCTTTGTGGACATTAAGGTTGGATTTGAAGTAGGGAGTTTGGGCAATGGCTTGAAAGATTTTGGCCTGGAAATTTGGTAGGTTGGAATACATGGTTGAACCATACAATGTCTAGAATGGTTGTACTAATGATGTGTAGATGAGGTGTTGGTTTCATTCATTTCCTGTCAAAGTTTTTGAGTATGTCTCAATCTCACTCTTTTGAGTATTAGAATTAGTTTCATCATGTGAACAAAGATTATTTTGTTTCAAGTCTTTAAATGTAAATGTCTCATTTTAACAATGATGAAGGATGCCTTTTTGGTATGAATATACACAATTTTTGCATCTATAATTTTGCTATTGTGGAATGTGCATGGATTGGGCTAAGTTGGATTAAATTATGTTAGGGTTAAGAATAGGTTAGGTAGGGTTAGGGACGAGTTAGGCTACAAACAATGCAAGATTTTTGCTGGAGAGAGAGAACATCTACATAACACGGACATATATAAAGAAGATCTCATCTATAGATTAAGTAATTAGGAGGAGGAAACAGCCACCCATTTCATCTTTGAATGCGAAGCAACGGCTCAATGGAGATTTAACCTAGCATACAGAAAAAAACCAAGGGAATGAAATTGTAGCATCAACAATCGATGACCTAATACTTTAGAGAAGAAGGATTGAGTCGATTGCACTAAACTAGGGAGCTAGGAAGGTACAATAAGCCAGAAGGCTGTAGTGCCTGGGGAACACAAACCCTGCTTCCTAGTTTCCTCTTCATAATTATCATCATCATTAATTATAGTTGATGATTGTTAACTTTTACAGATGATGGACATGCAATGCAGGAAAGAATATTCGATAACATGCTTAAAGTTAGATCTTGCAGCTCTTGTGCCAGGTTTAAGCGTTGCAAGAAAATACAAACTGCTGCCTGGTCTAACACTTGAATTTGGAGGATTTGAAACCAAAGAGCCTGGAGGAAAACTGCCATTAGAAGCTGCTGAACCGGTTTTGGATAGGTACCTCATCAAAGGTCTTGATGCTTTTATGAACTCTATTGCTATTCGGGTAAACGTGATGGACAAAGCAGTAGCCGAGAGAGTGAACAACATTGGTCACACATTTGTCAGTGGCGTAGAAAAATATGAAGATGATTTCGGAAGAGGTATAATACATGTATAAAGTTTTGTTTTATAATTTATAAGTGAATTTTTATGCAGGAAGGAAGAAAAAGATCAACCATGCACTTCTCATGGGCGGTATGATTTCTGCTGGTACACTCCTCGCTCTGACAATGTCTACTATATCTGCGATGGCAGGGAAAGCCATTTTGGTATCTCTGCTTTCTCTTGCTTTAACTATGATGACAAACAAGGCGAATGGAGGAGACAGCGGGGCTGCAGCTGGCAGCAATGCAAAAACAACTTACGAAATTATTACGCACACAATGCCCCATGATGAATACACAAACAGACACTGGGCGCAGGGTTTCACAGATGGTTATATAGTAAAAGCCACACCTCATTCCTAAAAACTATTTTTGTTTCAATAAGGAAATAATAAGGCAATACAAAATGTTTGTACATTTAGTTAACCTCAAAGATGATGTCTATTGGTGGTTTTTTTCTGTTCACTTTGTTATTTATTCTTTCATTAATTTTGTTTAATTCATCAAATTTCAACAGTAATTCATGAAAGGTTATTTTATAAATTATATTACTAAAAATTTATTTTTGTACTGCAACGCCTAATTTTATGTACAAATTGATTCCAGTCTTTATTTATTAAATATTTATTTAAAAACTAGAATAAATGTAATACTAGTCGGCCTTGAACATGTTATTTATTATGAATAGTAATTTATTAATAGATAATAAAGTTTATGTGTAGTTTATTAATTTCTTCATCCTTTTCTGAAGCAGTAATTTCAATAGAATATCGAGCGTATAGTTGGTTGAAGGGTTAATTAATTAAAAAACAATGTCATGTCGAATTGACACAAAATAAATGTTTATTTTTTCAGGTATGAAACAACTAATTCAACACTTTTTTATACAAAAATATCACAAAAGAAAAATAATACAACAAAAAATTTAAAAATGAAACAAATGGATAGTAGTGATAACAAAAAGGGAAATAAAAACATAATAAGCAACCATCATGTCTTTTCAAAAATTGTAGTTACACGTCCAAATAAATACAAGTATAATATCATTGTAATAATTTATTTCCTAGCCATATTGCACGTCGCATATTATGAAGACATAATACCAGGTACATACCTCGTCAAAGTTAAAATGGGGAAAAAATTACCTTATCACACTCAAGTTTTACATTTTAGGAAAGAGGAATGCTTTACGAGCCACAAACATTACACATTTAATAAATTATTGGATTTTCGTAATACATTGAAATCGACCTCTACTCAGAGGTATCATACTTTTAACAGCAAGCAATTCGCAAGCCTATTTAAAATGATATTTATACAGATATTATTTTTTACAACTTTCAATACTTAAATCTAAGTTTAAAAAAAGAAAAGAAAACATACATAGATAAGTAATTTCAAATCATTTATTAGACAGTAGTAAACAATTATTGAATTTTTTTAAATTGACCTATAATTTCTGAATTTTAATGATTTCTTAGACTGATATGTATAAGAAGAAAAAGCAAATGAGATTAGGAAAATTAATACTTTTTTACTTATAAGTTTAAACAGGGGTTACTGTTATAGCATCAATGTCTCCGATCGATTTGACCCGTCTGTGTCTATGTGTAGGCCTTCTGCGTACAATAGCGCTCTGCGGCGATTCAGGCCTCTGACTGCCAAATGTCCCGCTACTTTCGCTTGAAGTCGGAGAAATGGCTTCATGAACAGGGGATGAAATCTCGCCATAGTGGTTAATCGATCTCGACTTAAGACCAAATGCTCTCGACAAAGAACCCTGGAAGATTACACATGTTAATTTAAAATTCCACCTACTTATTTACTTGTTTTGATTTATTGAAATGATACACACTTGAGAGCTTCTCCAAGACGAGAACTAAAAAATATAATTTAAAAAAAAAGTTGATTAAGAATTTTTTCTTTAACTTTATAAGCTTAAGACATTTTTTAACTTATAAAATTTACCTTTTTACGAACTGTGCTGTAAGTCTACAAATCCATAGTGTAAGCATGGCACAATTAACGGCATTAATAAAACTTAGCTTGTGTTGTTTGATTTGTTTTGAAGGGCAGTTATGTTTACAAAATATTCTAACTACACAAACAGGCAACATATATTTTAAAACTATTAAACAGACAATAATTAGAAAAAAAAGTTCTTCAGCTTATAAAATCATTATTAAGTTTATGCACTATTTTTAGTTAAAGTATTTTATGCATAAAAATTGTAGTTTACTTAAAATTTCTTTGGATTGAATGATTTATTCTGACTAAATTGATTCTTGATGTTGTGTGTTTTTGTGTAATTCAGTGTACAAATGAGAAAGTTAATAAATTAATTTTAATTATTAAATCGATTTTGCATAAGCAGTATAAGGATGGATTATAATATATAAATTAATCACTTACCCTAAAGCTGGGACGCCTGTCTTTGTCAGGGGACTGCTCTTGGATTGGCGGTGGGGGAAGGGCCCTGGATTGGATCCGACCTACGTTCCTTCCCAAAGATCCTCCGGCCCTTCTACCTCGATACCCTCCCTCAAAACCAGCCCTAATTTGCCATCAAAAGCAACACAAATTCATTTTTCAAAAAAAATTTGAAGCTGTAAAATTTCTGACACGCTGGACATAAAAAGAACTAAGGAGGATAAATTAAAATGAAAGTTTCCTTTAAAAAATAAAAAAAATAAAAAAATATATATATATTTTAAGTAAATATATATTTTAAGTTACTTTTAAGTAAGTAAAAGAAAAAGTGCTAAGTAAAACAAACAAACATTGATCAAGCAAAGATTGCACGTAGAAAATTTTCAATTCTAAGTCTAAACAATTATTGTTATAACTAAAATATATATAAAAGAAACTATATTGTTTAAAACATTCATCATAGATTGGGGGAAATTAATTGGATGAGACTGTGTCAGTGTTTTTAGTCCAAGCGTGTTATTTTAAATAAATAATGAAAGTGAAAACATTGTGGTATAATGAAAAGAAAACTTCCGCGTAAACAATTGGCATAAGTGCCAAAGAGAAAGAAAGTGATGTTTATAAGAGCTAAAATCTCATAGCAACATAAACACAACAAGCCAACATAATCAAGTTGGTGCTGAAAAAGTGCTATTCTGATAGAAATGATAGTTTGAAAAATATTCATGCGAGAAAATTCTCAGTTAGACGTGCAAAACATGATGCAGATCATATGTACGATAATACAGTATGAGGGGGAAATTATTTTTAGAAAATCTAGCTCTTTTCTGTCTGTGAATGAAAACAAGCAATTGTGTGTTTCGTTGTATAATAAAAGGTGCTTGTGTGTTATAAAAAACTATCTATACTACTCCACTACTTCCATTCTACATGGTAAAACATTAATTATGAAAATAGCACAAGAATGCAGCACATCTAAGTGGTTCTGTTGTTTTGTGTGTGTTTTTATGATGTATGATGGTAGTAGCATTCCAATAAACAACACCTATCCCACAGTAATATCTCTTTAATTCCTCTTATAATTACATTATTGTACAGTAATCCTTTTGTTTTTCTCATTTTTAAAACAGTGATCGATAATTCAAAAACGTTATAAATATATTTGGCTTTTGGATAATGTAGATAGGTTACAGAATAGGCAAGACGCACAAGTTCGTTATAGTATCTTATAAAAAATATTTATTTTCTATGACTGCTTGAAAGTACAAACTTTTTTTCTACCAATTATAAAAAAATAACTCTAAATATCAAGGAAAAGATATAGTAAAGATTTCAACTTTCGTTTGCTATTAGTTTCATTCTTAATTTTTTAAAAAGTTATTGTTACCAGTTGCCTTATAATTGAGCGTGCCATCAAGACTAACTCATACTCACTAATACATATTTTTCGTTAATTTTTTTCTGCACCAATTTTATAGGTGATTTTCCTAAATGTATTTGATTTTTGTCTAAGATAAAACTATGGCCAATCAAATCTGTCAGCAAATAAATATAATACGAGTAAACTAATATACTTTCAAATGTTTGGCTACAGTAGCACAACTTTAATTACATAATAAAAATGAAAAAAAAAAATCTAAAATAAGACTAAGCTTTACCATAAAAATAAAATAAATAAATAATGTGGAACTTGAAAACTTAAATGTTCCCTGACATGAATGCACTTGTCAAGCATTTAGTGTAAATCATGTACAAATAATTAGGTATAAAATAACATAAACATTTAAAACTGAAATATGTTTTTAAAGATTTTATAACAAGCAAACGTGGTCAAATATGAAAATAAATAGATGTTATTACTCATTTCAACAGTCGAATGATATTCTTTTGATAGTTTAACTTTTTCTGTCAAAGCTTTACATGCGGAAGTAATTTAGATGTTTTATAACTGTCTTATTTTTATTTGAAGAGGAATTGAGTAAAACAAATGTAAACATTTAACTTTTGACACACTAATTTTTTATTGGGGCTTCTGAAATAAGTCCATAAACTTTTTCAATAATTAGATTTTATTCCTCTTGTGTTTTTGAAGCAATTGTTATTTACGTGTTATTGCTTTACACATTCTGAAAGTTGAGGTTTTTTTAATCTATTTGAGATCTTGTCTTTTTTACAAGGTGTTTTGCTAATTTAAAATGGAGGAAAATAGTGCATTTTTGTCATTTATTGGGTTTTTTTTTTATTACCGCAAGGGAAAACATAGCTTATACTGCTAGAAAAATGTATTATATTTATGTATTATGTTCGTAAATGGTTTGTCTGGTTCAGAAACAGAAATTTGAATTTAGAAGATGCAATGTGCTCTGGCTGGTATTCAACCACTGATGATTGATGATGACCAAATTCAAGCTTTTGATCCACATTACCCACACTAAATGATGTGAGACAGTGCAGAGACTCTTAACAGATCTCATAGAAACGTTTCACCACATCTGAGAATGTTGAATATGTTTGTCAGAGTGATAAATGAATTCCTCACATGTTGCCTGAGAGGATTTTATTGGAATGTGATTCCCTCCTAAAACTCAATGACCCATCTTTTAAAAGTTTGATAAATAGGTATAAAAGTGGGTCTTTTACAAGATCAGAGGAAAGTCCTGGGAAAAATCCCGCAAATAAAAGACGGATTACTTCCTAAGAAGATAATGTTGAGCATTTTGTAAGATTGGAAATTGGTGTTTTATTAGTTTTATTATTAGCTTCTTCTGCCCAACCAAATCATTAATTTTACTCTAAACTGCACACAGAAAGGTTAAAATCTGCAATTGAACAAAAATGGCCTGTATTGGCTAATAACAAGGGGAGGATGACGCTCATCCCCTACTGATGTCTTTACCGATGCACCAGAAATTGATGTAGCTTGGCTGGGTTGAGTTACCCCACTCACTGTATTTGTCTGATATTGCCCCTTCCTATTTTTACTAATTTCAGGCTCTGCAAAACTCTATTAATGAGAAAAACTTTGACATTTCTTGAGGATTGTCAAAAACACTTTGAGGAGTTCATTGCACAAAAACCATGCCAATTGCATGGCATGTGTAGTGATGATTAAATTTAATTACAAATGCTGGAAATTTTCATTGAATTCACCATTAAAAAATGCTATGGACTTATTTTGCAACCGAATAATAGAATGTAAGAATTTTATTGTGTTTATTCTCAGCCAAATCTCTTTAATCTTTTTTTGAGGAGGTAAGAATTTTTAAGTGTGTTCTTAAATATTATAAATAATCGATAAGGTATATAATAAATTTAAAAATGAATGTGTTGTGATCATATGCTCTGTTATTCATAGGTATTTTTTCTTTTTTTTAAATAGAAATGAACGGCATATTTAAAATAGAAAAATCAATAGAACAATTAAAAAGCTATCCAAGCTATTTTTAAATTTATGTAAATGATAAAAATTAAGAAAATTATCAATGAAAAACATGCCAGTGACAAATGTTTCGAAGTCTGAAAATTGGAAGACCTAATTTAGTTTGAGTTCCAATGATTAACTTCAGTTGCATACTATCATTAAAAAATATATCCTGACCTAATTTAGTTATTAATCAAATTAATTTTGATTACCGTTCTTTCTGGCACATAAAAAAATGCAAATATAATTGTACAAATAGAAAATATCAGAAAATAATGCTAATTATACTTTTTTTGTATAAAAATGATAATATTGTGTTTTCATAAAAATAGACAGAAGTATTCCACAACCTATCTACATAAGATCCTGTACATATACTTTTTTAAAAACTTCTTATTTACAAATCATATTCTGGAATATATACAAATAAGCTATCACTACATGAACATTTATTTTATTAGAGAAAGACATACAGCCTCCTAAAAATTGTTATATGGTTGCTATATTTTAAAAACGTTTCATATATTATAATATTAAATATGCACATTAATTACATTTTTAACTTTAATTTTTTCTCTCTCTAATTGATAAAAGCAAACAACTTGGAAAGGAGTCATCGGCTTGATTAAGTTTTTTCCTTTTATTTTTGGCAGGGTTACAATAAATATATATTATACATATCTACGAGGACACTTTTGGACAGTTTCCAAGGAATTTAAACTACCTTACTTTATTAGCCATATAACAACCATATAGACAGATCTAAACAGTTAGAGAGCACAATGATTCTTTTACTATTTAATATGAAAAAAATTACCTAACATTTAAAATAAAAAGAAAAAACAAATCGTTTTAGATTTTTGTCCAAAAAATTAATTACTTTAAAGTGTAATCGTAAAAAGTAGTAGACCACATCAAAAATTTATGAATATTATAAACATGAAAATTAATTTTATTTTTAATTTTTTTCCCGCAAATCATTGTTGAACATATCAATGATATGATTTTTATATAAAATGTGTTTCATTTAGTTGGTCAGTGTTTGTGTTGGTGAGATAGCTAACAAAAAAAAAATGGCTAATCTGCTATCTACCTTGAGGCTCAAAGATTGGCAAGAAGCTCGTGTCTGCAATTCCATAAAACAGAATATTAATATCGATTTCCTTCGTGAGCATGCTGAATCTCATATTGAAGTTGAATACTGTATGTAAAGTGAATATTTGTAGTTATTAGTTCCATGATATCTCTTTTTTTTTTTAAACAATTTTTCCCCTTACAATCAGAATACAAAGATTGGAATTTTTATCTAAACAATTTATGTGGAAAATCAAAATCAATACCAAACTGTAATAACAGAGTTGAGTTAAACAGATCGTGAAAATCTGTATATATTGAGCATAAAAAGAAAAAAAAAAATGTGTAGTTAGAGTTCAAGAAAACTGGCAAAACAAAAGTTCACAAACTTATGCAAAAAAATTTTCACCAAACTCCACCACCGCAAAGTTCAAAATGTTGTCGTTAGTGTGTCTACAAGAACAACTATTCATATTTACCTGGCAGGAAGAACAAGAGCTTCGAGTTCAGCTGCAAGGTGTCTCCTGATCATATTTCGCGATGGCGGGATTCCAAGCGCAGTCGCCATTGTGTCACCATTGAGCGATGGCTCCAGTACGACCAGTGCTCCATGAACGCCCGAATCTAGATAAAAAGATATATGAGTAAAATCAATAAAATTAAGAATGGTTAAAAGATTTTTTTTTACGTTCTACTGCACTGATTGAAGCTAAATAGAAGATTAAGTACATTTTAATCAAGTTGGACAATTTACTAAAATTAAATATTATATACAAGTTACACATGCCACAAATTAACAACCGCACCATGACAACAAAAAGTTTCATGATTCCCAGGATAATAAAATCAATATTTTACTTAATATCCTACAAGATAATTATAAAATAATTATATATAATAGTTTTAACAGGTAATTATTTATTTATAATAGGTAATGCTTGTATTTATAATATGTGTTGAGTGGATTCCCCGAGGCATCACTGCGAGCAGACGATAGGGTGATGATAGAGTTTCGACCTGAGTCCACCTTCTCCCAATTGTAAAATCCCACAGTTGGTCCAGATAAAGGACAAAAGACCGGTTTTACACAGTTTTGAACTAATTTGAGAGAAATGTGAGAAGAGTGGTGCTTAGGCTTTAACCATAACACAACTAAAAAAGGTAAGAAAAAGGGGACATGATGGGCAAATTGGGATTAGGGAAGAAAATGAACAAGATTCCGAAAGGACTTATTGATTACAAAAGAAAATGTTTCTTGGCCTAAACGTCCTGCTCACCAATTTTTAGAAATTTTTTTAAATGAAAAATCAAGAATACAAAGGAATGGAAAGCCATGAGGATATGAAATGGAGGGGAATAAATTAAAACCTTTCAATTAATTAAGGTTTTTAGTTGAGACGAAAAAGTCAGATTTCCGGAAGTCACGATAGCTCAAGTGGTAGAGTAGCAGCGTATCAACCTGAAGGTCGTGGGTTCGAATCTCGCTAGTGACACTGACTTTTATCTCAACTAAAAACCTTAATTAATTGAAAGATATTAATTGGTCAAGCGGACGACGAAAAATAGTGAATTTAATAAATTAAAACGTTCATCTAAGTGATATATACAATATTTACATAAAGGAGGTAGGGAAGGAAATTGTTCAGTGGGAGGAAGGGAAAAGAGAGTGCGCAATGGACACGCGTAGGTGCCAGCTCGGAGGCTTACAGTGACTACTCTCATAATGCCGTCAGATTCAGGATGAATCTGAACGACTCTTCTGATAGGCCAAGAGAGGAGGAGGAGCTCACTTTGCAAAGTATAATAACATCGAGTTCTTTTGGTTGGGATCAGACTTCTGCAAAAGAAATAAGAAGAAAAGATATTTGAACATCCTTACCTTTTAAATTATCAGCATATTCGCCAAGATCTATGTTCCTAGCCCATCTAATAAACCTTTGGTTGGTCCAAACGAGAGGATCAGCATCTACATTTTCGCATTGATGCCTTCGGACAGCAAGTGCCTGGAGATAAGGTGACAATGATGTAAAAAGTTCAGTACTTATATAACTTTAAATGTACCTGTCTGTCATATTTCATCATACGTAAAAGATGTATGCCGTGTACGATTGACGCCTGGTGAAATTTTCTTGTTACGCCTAGAAATTTTTCAAGTTCCTTTTTACTAAGATGATCGAGCATTCTTGCATCGACTAAGTTAGTAGCGAAATTCTCAGAATACTGTAAACACAAATTGAATAAATTTGAGTGAAAGAAGTGAATTTTTAAAATCTATTTACCTGTGGTAGACCTAAATCTGGAAGCCATTCACTAGATACCCATGTATGACCTAACTGTCCGATGCATGGATACCTCATCATACCGGGATTTCTATGCTCCTCAATAGCAAGTCTTAATTTCTTTCTGTGCATGGGATGCTGTACACCTAGTCCTATTTCCAACTCTCCATCACTTAATTCAAGCAATACCTGTTCAATAAAATCAATATTAATATCTTTAATTATTAATAAATTATAGTTTTTCTTTATACCTTTCCGGATTTAATATTTTGTGTGCATTTCGGACCATACTGTGGCATCCCTAAAGCTATTTCAAGCCAAGCGAGTACTGTAGGTGCTCTCCACCTTTCCATTGGAATGGCGCTGGCCTCTCGGAGCAGTCTTAGCTTTTCGGCGTAGCCTTCTTCGGTCAAAGGCGACCAGCTACGGTTGCAGGATTCACTTGGTGTTTCCGGAAGTGGTGCTGAAGCAGAAAAAACATCAACAATCCATTTATTAAATGGATCACTTTTTCAAAATACCTTCTTGGTTATTAGGGTTTGGATGTTTCTTGTGCCTACTCCTGGCAAATACTCGACTGATGCTGCCCCAAGTGCTTCCGCCAGTTCTTGCCGTCGTGGCACTTGATGGCGTGCTACCACCACTACCTCTCAACTTGCCTCTACGTAAAGGCTCGACCTCCAGCTGAGGAGAGCTGAGTTGTTCAACAGACCTGGTGCATCAACGAATAAGGACATTTTAGTTTTAAATTGTTTAATTTCAATGATACCTTGACAGAGTAGAATTGTCCAAAGACCTTGAAAATGAATGAGCGTTGAGAGGCGAAAGGGATGGGCTACTGCTCTCTTTTGGAGTTGTTACTAAACAAAACAAAAAACAATAAAAAAATTAAAACAATTAAAGAAAAACATTAATTAAATATATATTTTCAAATAATTAGCCCATTCATATGCAGTCAAAATGTATATAAAGACAATGTAAAAAAATGGACTATTTAAGATTTAAATAATTTTTTTAAATAAATTTAATGAACTATTTATACATTTCTAATTTGACTTGAAGTTCAATATAATTTCTAATCTAAAAACAAATTTAAGGTCAGCTCTTTTCAATAGGTGCATTAAAATTATAACAATTTGGTGTCAATTAATTTTTAAAAAATAATATTACATGCAGTTTAAATTCATGCGTTTGTTTTTTGTACATTCATGCTAGGTGTATAAATAGATTACAAATATAAATAATATAATTTTGCAAATAATATACAAAAAATATCTATGTAACAAAACTTCTGCATCTAAATATTTTCAGCTGACACGGTCTTGAAAAAAAACAAAAAAAACCGTTTCTTGAATCGTACTAAAAATGAATTTCAATGTGTGATGTTGCAATAATAAAAATGCAAAATAAACAAAATTAAAACAAATCAAAACAATATCACTTGTACAAAGGGTGTAAGTAATTTTAATAAAACAGAATTGTTGTTGCATCACAACCAACTCACATTTGTACATGTGTGGAGTTGTAAGTGATGAAACTAGAGACACTGAATCATAGTCCACATGAATACCTTCTATTGTGATAGTAGGTGTTCCTAAAACATTTTTTCATATACTCGTCTAATTTTCTTAATTTTTTCTTTCTATTTCTACAATTCAATTTTTTCTTAACACCTAGATTTTTAGAAAATTTTGATTATGATTCTCTGATATAACATACGAAGTTGAGGGGGAAATCAGCAATGATGTAAATTAAAAGTTTTTTTTTTCTAAAGACTCAATATAAATAATATTATACTAACACTATAATGGCTTACTGTCATACCTGTCTATGAAAAAAATCATATATACTATTTGTAATAATATCAAGATGTCCAGAAATAAATTACAATTTATATTTTTTTGCTGATTTATGTAAAGTAATTCTTGTCGTACGGAGGGCTTAACGTCCAATGACCCTCAAAAAATGGTGTCACGGTTGAAAGGTTAAACCATTTTTCTAACTTAATATTTAATACTTTATATTATTATTAATTAAAAAGACATGGGCTATGACAGGATTCGCACCCAGAACTGCTAGCCTGGCAAATATGAGTCAGATACGCTAACCACTCATCCACTTCAGTCCAGCTAGTGACGATGCTAAACAAATCTTGTTCATATTTTATTTTATTATTTATTAATGTCTTCTTTTGCTGGTTGTTGTTGGTATTGATATAAATAAATATAGTTAGGAAGATCTGAACTGTAGAAAAGAGATAATCCTCACCCAATTGAGAATAGCCTATGTGAGGTTGATACAAGGACACTTACTTTTGGGCCAAAGCCAGTGTATATGTTCGGCATGTAGGAAAAGGTAACTTAATGCATCCCATTTAATTGAAAGGTCCATTCTTTGGTCCATATAGTGAGCATGTAGGATGCTAGGAAGGGTGGTAGGAATGTCACCCAATACGAGACTTTGTTTAAGTATGACAGTGAGTATTTGGGTCCCCTATTCTGATTTTTGGAGAAAATAGGGCTGTTTTATTGCATCTACTATTGATAATTATCTTGTTTTGTAAATATTAAAAGGGAATGTATTTATATGCGTGATGGTTTAGTGTGAGAGGGCTTTGGAGAGTATCCAAATTATGTGTAAAGGTTGAGTAATACTGGGTTCTGCTCCACCCGGGTTGAGTGAATGGTATGCAAATAGGAAAACATTTATGAATGAATTTGAGAGTGCCTAAGTTAAAACAGCATGCGCTTTGGGGCTGAAATGACCCAGCTGTTGACAGCCCCTGGAGCCTAACTTCAGTGACAGGACAGATAAGATCGAGGTTGTGACCCTGGACTGGAGCTTATATAAATCAATAAATCAAATATTTGTTTAGGCAAAAAGTGAGAATTACAAGAATTGAACCCATAATTTATTTATAGACATCTGAATAAAATTAGAAGATTATTTTGAAACATTTACGGATGTGGGTTTTATTTTTGGTGGAATATCAGACAACCTGGTTTCTCTTTTTGTATGAAATATAACAAAAACATCCATTACAAGTGGCATAGGAAGAAAAAGAGAGAAAAGACGCATTTACAAAATATCCAATTTTCCTCTTTGAAACTATTCGTCAAGTTATCTAACTGAGCACTGAACATGAAAAATGAAATGGTAGACATTACTTGAAGAAGAAAGTTTTTTATTTATTTTTAAACATTATTCCATTACCAATTAAAATATTTTATCTTCAAATTCTATCATCTTATTGTACTGTAGTAAATCTGTGAATTTCTTTTTATAAAATATTTTCAAAACTACAGGCAAATGCGATAAACTTCACTACATCCCTTTGCTTTTTGTTAATACCTGTACTGACTCTGAGATACCTATTGTACATAAACAAATTATTATTTATAGTAACTGTTCAGATTGAGAATTGCACATTGAATCAAAATTAAGTTAAACAAATTGAAAACGAAAATAAAACTGTGCTGGTGGATGGTGATGTAAGAAGTGAAAGCAAAAGATGTTGAGAAGTGTCAAAAGAAATGAGAAAAATGCTTTATAAATTGCTAAAATTAGTATACTTATAAGCTTGATTATGTGCAAACTATTGCTAAACATTTTATAAAAATAAAACCAAATGAAAAGAGCTTAAGAGTTGATTTACTACTAGAATCAAATGAAAAAATAATGACATGAGTTGGTTAAAGGCAGAAAAAAATTTTGATTATGAGAATAACAAAATTGTAAATTAAAAAATCAATAATTAAACTATAATTGTATTGAACAGTTAATAAAATGCAAATTGGAAAATTAAATATCCACATATAAATGTACCATTTATACATTTTTATGAATTTACAGGAAAATAAGAAAAGGTGAATTATAAAAGAAGGGACTTCACCATCGGTTGTCGAATCGCTGAGATTCGTTGTCGACTGACGGTCAGAGGAACCGCGCAGCCCGGAATCGACGCTTCCTGATGTCCTGTCCCCTGGTCCTCCATTGACTCCTCGCCAACCGGCACTGATACTCTCTTGATCAGACAGACACCCGCCTGATGACAACTGCCGCCTCGCCTATAAATAACGTAACGTTTCACTAAAAGCAGAACTGGATATGTCTAATACAAAACAGAATGTGACAGTGAATAAATCAATAATTAACAGCATAAGTGCAAAGTGCCAGAAGAGAATGCAAGTACAAAGTCTGGCTGATAATAAATACATTCAATATTAATTTTAATTACCTTTAAATAACAAAACGCTAGCACTATATTAATCATAAAAGAATTTTTGACCTAACATTGAATTAAATTTCTAAATCTCTGGTTTAAATGTTAATTAGTTCATTTGAACGGTTGTTATACCAGGAAATATTTACAGGTTTGCATAAACAACTAGGCAATTAAAAAAAAAAATTTATAAATGTGTTCCATATATTACACTCCTCAACAGTAATTAAGAATAAGTTTAAAAAAAAGACTAACAAAATTTTAATATAAAATTAATTTTTTCTTTTAATATAATTGTGAAAAAAAATTATATTTTAAAGAGTGGAGCTGCTAAAATTATAACTTTCACAGGACTTTCTAAAAAAACTACACATCTAACAATTATTAGCATTCCATTAAAGAAATTTTACGTAAAAACTACAACTAAGCTAATTTTAAACAAATAACTCTACATTAAAAATAAAACTGCACACTCAACCAACAATGGAACACTGATGATGGCGGTTTGACCAAGAAGGAAAAACAAACAAAAATTAATCTTCCATTTTCATCAGCGGGTGGAACACAAGTGCAATTTGTCATAAACTAAACCACTTTTCAAATTTGTAATAAGACTGTAAAATCAAAACTGTGGATTAAATAGGAAAAACAAAAATACAACAAACGGGCAAAATACTGGGCAAGGCGACACCAGACAAAAGTTTTTGGTTTTTTTGCATATTTACTCACATTGTAATGGTCTCTGCTTGGGAGGTCCCTTCGTGGTAAACCGTTTTCTGGTGATCTTCCATCATCAGTGACCCCCGGGCAAAGTGTACTTGCACACTGTATACACATAACATAAACAACCACACGCAATTCCACAGTGTTCGTTTTTTTTGTCAAAATATTGTATGTAATTTATATTAAAATTTTTTTACAAAACTTTTTCCAAAGAACGTCAAGCCTAATTGAATAAATTTATAACTCACATCTAACAGTTCCCTCTGCTTTAGATCTAGCTGGGCAGCTAGATTCAAACTTCTTTCTGCCTCGTCTCTTGCATGGCGCAGTAAACTCCATCTCTCTCTTTCTCTTTCTGCACGCTCTTGTGTCAGGCTCTCCTCGCTCTCTCGCATTCGCTGAAACAAAGATCTACAATAGCATTTTTTGTAACTAGAAAATACACAATGACATTTAATGGCTGATACTTATGTATGTGGTATTAGTGCAGATGAGCGGTGTACATGATGAACATGTGCAAAACAGTATGTCTTAAATGTAAATACCTGCTTGAATACCTGTTCAAAGGTTCGAATGAAATCTCTCAGCTCCTTCTCCTTGTCCTCGAGAGTAGCATACAGCTGCTTCATCTGATTCAGCAGATCGAACTTCTCAGCTTTCAGCTTTTTTCTGTCTGTCTTCAAGGCTGTAAAAATGAAGCAAAACAATGTAAAAAAAAGTCAGATAATTCATAGATTAATTTGTTTTGTCGTAAAAATAAAAGCTGCAATTAATTTCTTTGCCATTTTTTTGTACCCCTTTTATAAAAAAGAGACAATGAGAATTTGTAATGGTGAAATATGTAACTGAGAGAATGAGCGGAATTGTCACAATAAAAACTATTAAATATTAAACTGTAAACTGTGAGTACATTTGAATATAAATTTTCTCGAAGAAAAAATGTGTCTAGTTGTTTAATTTTAATTAATCAATTCTTTTAAATGGGCAAATGTTCTCCTAAAAACATACAAGACATTTTGCAATTAGAAATACAAATTTTTCCAAATGAAAAAACACAAATTTAAAATGTACATTTGTACATACATGTATTTTTAAATTATACAATAAAGAAGAAATAGATAAAAAAGAAAATGAGGTGAGAGATTTAATTGCCCAATTGAAAAAATGCTAAACAAAAACTCTTAATTAAAGACCTACTTATAAAGTATAAAAATAAACATAGGAATTAATTTATTATGTATTATAAGCAATAGGAATAACCCTGCCAAACTGTGGCAGGTAAAGAAAGACGTCGGTCCCTGGTTCACGGAAAATGGGTCAAAAAGGGAAAAGGTCATACTGACAAGACTACGCATAGGTCATACAAGAATTACGCCCGGGCACCTTCTAGCAGGAAAGCGACCGCAAAGGTGCCCATTATGCAAGGATAGCGTAACAGTCGAGCACCTTTTCAATTGTAGAAGGCTCGACGTTTATAGGCATTATTTTGGAATATCATCGGACCTGTGCGTAGTCTTGGGGCACGGCAGCGGGCACAAATCGCTGTACCGGTACCTCAGGGCTATAGGGATTTTCAAATGTATATAGTTTATGTGTGTTTGTGCTGTGCTTGTGTTGTGTCTGAAGTTTTGGTGTCGTGTTTGTGTGATGTTTATGTTAATACACTAGGATGAATGTAATTTATTTGCGGGGGGTTATTTACCCCGCCCCGAGGAATATCGAGTACTCTGGGGTGAGTGTGTGATGTCTGGGGAGTAAAAGTAAGTTAGCGCGAATGGAGTGGGTTCGGCCCCGCCCCGAAAAATATCGAGTACCCTGGGGGAGTGAATGTGACCAGACTTTTATGTTAGTATTGTATGTTGTTTATATTTTACTCTGTTGGAATGAATGTAATTTAAGCATGAAAGGAAGGGGTTATCTACCCCGCCCCGAGGAATATCGAGTACTCTAGGGTGAATGTGTGACGTCTGGAGAGTAAAAGTAAGTTATTAGCGCGAATGGATTGGGTTTAACCCCGCCCCGAGGAATATCAAGTACTCTGGGGGAGTGAAAGTGACCAGACTTCTATGTTGTAGCGATATATATGTTATGTATTGTATGTTGTGTATCTATTTTTAAATTGACAACCTGAGGTACTAACAAGAGGCTAGCATTTTAAAATAACGACGTAATATACAAGTAAAAGCAGAGAGTCATTAACCAGATTGAGATGCTCAAATGGCTGCAGTTCAATATAAAATACGCGAGAAAGACAGGAAATAGAAGGAATACACGCGGAGGGCCGGCGATGACCTCAGCTGTTTGTCGGCCCATAAACCTTCCACTTTATATATAAGCAATCAGAAAAAATCTTATATTCTGTAAGCAATGATAAAACTACAACTTTCTATTATAACAATAATTAAAAATAAATAAACATTAAATTATTTCGAATAGCTAGTGTAAGATATTATCTAATGATCTTAAAAAAATGAGTTACTATTTGCGGAAACTTCTCAATAAATAGCAAAATCTCACTGGCACCCTCAACACGACACGCAAGAATGGCACAATTACACACAAGACAAACACTTTGAGTGAGTAGAAATACTTTGATTGAATATATAAAAAAATATATTTTGCATTGTATAAATTCACTTTTCCACATCCACAATGTAATTGTTATATGTAAACAATGTTTGTAAATCCCAGGCCCTGAAGATGATCTCAATAAAGATCGAAACATTGGCACGATAAAGAAAATGTTTTTCTGAAACCTACATCACACCAGACCGCATCTCACGATTTCTAAATAAACTTCTCAATAAGGATATGAACTCTTTTTAGGAGGGTCGATACTGGAATGAAGATGATAATTATGAGGAATGAAGAAAACGTCAGAAAGTCTTTGATTATGGAGAGGAACAAGAAAATTTATGCGAGGAAGTATTAAAGGACAATCGTTTCAATTATTTATTAGTTTATAAATAAAGACAAAATCAAAATGAACGTGACGAGATTTTAACGAAGGTGTAAATATGGGAAATATTGACTGGATTGTAAGGAATCTTTAAAAGAGATGAATTTAAAGGATTTGAACGTTTATAAAGAATGTTTTTGTCGGACAAGGTAAGGTGACCAAACAGGAGAAGAAATTCAGCATTAGAACAGAGTTGTTTAAGGACTAAATATTATTGGACTGTAGTCGCTTTGAATAAAAAATTAATTTAAAAATGTAATATACAACATTAAACACTTATTTATTTGGTTACAATTAACAATTAGATGAACTGTGCACAGTTACTCTTCTCCAGTGTTGCTATAAGCCTACAGAACTTATAAGTATTGGGAGATTTAAAGCCTAGCAACATTATATGACTTTGTTAAAGCATTGGTATTTTTTATATTATTAACTAATTTATTGCTAATAACAAACTGAAGTACAAAACGAAACACTGACGTTGTTTGTTAGAGAAACGTTCTTCAATTTGAATTGTTTTCACCTGCACAGCTGTTTTTTTTTCTAACAATTACAACTTTAATAATGTAAATTTTTGTGAAATGTTTTTAAATGGAATTCGAATCCACCTTTTACGAATAGAAAAGAAGAGAAAATGGTGAGTAAGGAAAAAATTATGTCGTATTAAGCCCGGAGGGTTGATTAATTAAAATCCCGGTAACACCCGCATCCGGAGTGTGGTTCATCACTGCGGTGAATGAAGTTAACATCAATATTCACGCGTATTCGCCATTTACGGCGGTTACGAGTTGACCCAAGGCCTAAAGCCTCTTTGTTAGCACTAATTCAACGAATAATCATCGCCTACGTATTTCAGCGTGCTGCGAAAATTTTCATCTAGCAAGGTCCGGAAGAGCATCTGCACTTATGAAGTGAAGAGGAACGAACCTCCATGCGGCGTTTTCGATTCCTGTCATGTTGGTGAAATAGGAAACCAGCCGAAAATCGTCATAGTCGGCGCCGGAGTCGCCGGCCTGTCTGCAGCGCAAAGGCTTCTGCAATGCGGTCTGACCGATATCACGATCGTCGATGGCTTGAGCCGGTAAGCAGTTGTAATAAGTCAAATTTGCTCGTAATGTGTAAATAAACTGTTTCGTTTCAGCCCGGGAGGGAGAATTCACACGGACAATTTAGGCGGATGCTATATCGACCTGGGAGCGCAGTGGATTTACGGTAGCACGATAGGCAACCCTATATTTAACATCGCTGCGCAGGAAGGGCTCATTAAGCAGCCTGTTAAACCGAGGGAACCTAATCGCGGCTTTTTCTACACCTCCGATGGCAAAGCTATTGACAGCTTTGTTTACGAAAAAGCCAAGAGGATCTTCGACAACATCAGTCAAAAGGCCTTCTTGTACTCCTCAAAGCAGATCGAATACATTAACATCACGTTCTGGGATTTCTTCAAAAAGGCGATAATGGACCAGATGAAAAAATTGACACGTTATGAGCAGAATTATTCACAAAGGGTTATCTTAGGACTGACGAACGATCTCAAGTCGAAGTTCGCCGCGGATTTGAGCGACATCACTCTTGGGAGTCTGAACCATATCCACCAGATCGTGGGTGGCGATGTTTGCGTCAAGTCAGGTTTCTCCGGCATACTTAAACCGTTAATGGCGAACATACCGAAAGAAGCTCTCAAGCTTGGCAAGCCCGTTAAAAAGGTCAGATGGTACACGGGAACAGATCCAAGGGCGCAAGTCATTTTGACGGATGGCACAGTCGTTTCAGGCGATTACATCATACTTACAGTCTCATTAGGCGTTTTGAAAGAAAACCACTCCCAATTGTTGATACCGCCGATACCGAAGAAAAAAAGCCAGGCGATAGAAGCTATAGGGTACGGCCATGCCAACAAAGTGTTTCTCCAGTACGAGCAGCCGTTCTGGGTGGAAGGAGAAGGCATCATCAGACCTGCCTGGTCGCCGGAAGAAATGAAGGATAGGACCCAATGGATCCATTCTTTAGGTATGATAGAAGAGGCTCCTTGCCCGGGAAACACTTTGATGCTCGAAATAGGCGGGACAGAAGCCACGTATTTAGAATCGGCGTCGGATCAGGAGGTCACTGAACAGCTGACTTGTCTGATGAGAAATATAACCGGAAACGTTTCCATTCCCGCGCCGAAGGCGGTAGTCAAGTCTGCCTGGAGCTACAACCCCCTCTTCATGGGAGCGAAGAGCTACATGACCAAAGACACATTTCCGAAGCACTTCAAAGATTTGAGCACTCCTCTCCCGGAGATCGGTACGAACGCGGCTCCGACCCTCTTCTTCGCAGGAGAGGCGACTGTCTACGGAAACCACGGGACGGTGCATGGAGCGAGACTCAGCGGAATCCGGGAAGCAGACACGATAGTCACACTGACGAAACGTTTTTGCGGTCGTCCGCCCATCACACTCTCATCGAAAACGTGCGGTCATTGTATGTTGTAATAAATTGTCTCGTTATCCATTATTCTTACATCTCTTTATTTTTATTATGTTTTTCGTGCATATACAAAATGAGAGCAACAGTTAACGCTTTACCATGGATTATACTCATTTATGAAGTTATAGTTAAAGTATGGTAATATATATATATNATATATATAAAGTACTATGCAAACTGTAGTAAAAACGGCAAAGGTGGTGAGTGAGGGAAGGCAGAAAATTCACAACGATCAGGAGAAAATGTTTCTAATGTTTAATGACCGAGTGGAGGGGAAAAGATGATTCTGGTCAGAATGAGTCTCTTAGGGACTTCCAACCCCTTATAACGTCTTATTATGTGATTATCAAGGGTTGATCGGGATTAATGGCAACAGTTTCTAAGGCAACAGACTGGAACGTACACACCCCAAGGAAGTAAAGTTGTGCAATACCTGTAGTCTTAATAGGTTAGTTAATTTAATAGATAACTATGTTTTACGTGAGTAATAGCAGCCAGTTTAAGAAGTTATTAAATACTAAAATCTTGCAGAAATGTAACATTAGATTTTGATTTAAGTGTTTTGAAAGAAATCAACTTTACTTTGACCAAATCTGGGATATGATAGATTAAAGATAAACAACCCAAATGACAACTGTTTAACTTTAAAATAAGATAACTTATCATTAGAAGATCCAGTTTGGGCTCCTATATTCAAGGGTTTCATCACAGATAAAATGGGTTTGTAAGGTATTTAACGATTGTCCGAAGAGTGTTTTTCCGAATATAATAAAGTTGAAATACTTAAAGGAGTAAGAGTAGTATCGATCTGAAGGGGATGATTTGGAAAGAACGGCTAGGCCAGATATATCAGAAGGATCAGCAGTTTATTTCTGGTCTTCCTCGAAACCCTCGAGGTCTATTAAACCTCATAGGCACAGCAGTTACAAATCTTACAAGTCCTGGAAGTTTTCAGTTATTACCATCCCCGTCTGCGTTTACGGCTATAAATGGGTTTCAATATTGCATTTTGAGAAAAGTACTTGGAATTTATCATTTAATGTGATGTTGGGGGGTTAACCCGCGGATATAGACGTTCTGCAAGGCCATCCGGTCGTTTTCGTCGGCTTAAGCTAACCCGGACTTACACCATTTTCACCAAATGGGGTCGAGAAGAGAGGCTTGGTGACATTTGTTGATAACGGCCGAAGAGAAAACGGACACAGTGTTTCGGAATTGCCCTAATAACGCGTTGTATTTCCAACCCTCGTCGTAGCAAGTCTGAATTTTTAATTTTCACGTTGCGAATGGTATCATTTTTTTTAACAAATGCGAGCCCCAAAAAGTACTTTTAATGGATACTGTCATGTAATGGGGTTGTTTAGAAACAGTGGGTCTCATAAAATCCGTCTTAATTCAGGAAAATAATCTAGAAATTATAATAGTTTATTGCTGTAGTAAACATATTTCCCGCAGATGTTGTTTCGAACTACTGTTAGTTAATAAGAAACAATAATTTCCAAAAAAATATGTGCTATTATTTGTCCTTAAAGGATATTTAACTTTGGATGCCGATTTACGTCAAAAAATCGTAGTAGTATTTATAAATTTTAGGATACCTGTAGGATACAGTCCATGAAACTAAGTGATTATGACAAATTTCTCTGCTTGGACATGAATTTGCTGGTTGGGCGTGGATGAATTTGCGGTTTATATTACTAAGTTTGTTGTTTGTGTGTGCCAAGTTTTCTGGTTCGTAGTGGTCAAATTTGTTGATTGGGGGTGGGAAAGTTTGCTCTTATAGCGGGCACATTTTTTCTGATTGATCGTGACTAAATATGCTGGATGGTCGAGGGGCATGATCAAATTTGCTTGGTAGCCATGAATTTATGTGGTAGTTGGTCTTGATCAAAATTGCACGTTGGCCGTGGATTATTTTGATGATTGGGTGAGGGCAAGCCTCCTCCTATGGCATACCCATTATTTTGCTCGAGTGTGGCAATGCTTGCTGGTTGGTCGTGACCAAATTTACTCATCGGGTGTGATTACATTTACTAGTTGGTCGTGAACAGTGATCAAATTTGCTCGTTAGCCATGGATTAAGTTGCTAGTTGGTCGTGTCTATGTTTGACGGTTGGTCTTGACGAAAATTGTACGTTGGCCGTGGATAAATTTGATGATTGGTTGAGGAAAAGTCTACTCTTATGGCCTACTCATTTCGAATGTGGCAATGCTTGCTGGTTGGTCGTGACCAAATTTACTCATTGGGTGTGATTATTGCTTTTAGTCGTGAGTTATGACCTAATTTGCTTGGGTGAGGCACCAAATTTTGCAGATTGGCTGTAATTAAATGTACTAGTACGGTGTAGCTAAACTATTGTTTAGGTACGGGCGATTTTGCTGATTGAATGTGGCTAAATTTGTTGATTGGGAGTGGCTAAATTTGCGGTTTAGATATGACAATTTTGCTGCTTAGCTGTATTAAATTGACATATTGGGTGAAGCTAAATTTGCTGCTTGAGCGTACACAACTTTATTATTATTATTATTATTATTATTTTTTTGAAAGGCTGTTTATCAATTAAGAGTTGTGCTACTTTTTCCGATTCAAATTCTAAATTCAATAGAACTTCTCGCATTTCAGTCAGACATAGCAAATTTTAATTTTATAGCATTTTAACTACAATTTACAAAAATGCGTTTTAAAGTTGCTAGCATACAAGAAAAACGCAATTCCTGCTGAACATGCAATCATAACTTATCCGGTTAGTGCCTTCTTCGTAATTATTTAATTTTTGTTTTATTTATAAGTTATAAAGAAATAAATGCATCTAGTAAGATACATATTTGTGATATTTACAGAACAATCTTCTCTTGAACGAACTTGGATTCGATTGGTGCGTGCCCTTTCCCCAGATAACTAAAAAGAATGAACTATTCAGCGTCTTACTACTATACTTACTAGATATGGTCTCTTTGGCTTGGGCAAGCTCTTCCTCGAGCTGGGTGATCTTCGAGGGGCCTTCGATTTCGTTGGCGGTGCCTACGATTGCCCCGGAGGCGGAGACGAGCTTTTTAAGCTCGGAAACTTCGCGTTTTAGCTTTTCGTTTTCCAGCCTGAGCCGAGTGCCGGCATTTCCAGACAGGTTTTCCAACTCTTGTACTGAAAGAAAGGCAAAACGAACAAATAATCAATGAAATAGATTAAATGTTAAATGTATTTAAATAGGAGGTTAGTGAAATATATCCAATCCATGTAGAACGTTTAATCACGAGATTTGTGACTTACCGAAGTCCGATTTGTGACTTGGCCCCGCTGTCGGTGATGGTGGCCTTTTAATCCTCACTTCCGGTTCCGGAGGGACGTCACCGGATTCTCTCCTCTTGGCTAGGGAAGTCGGCCTTTTTGAATCCGGCCTCGGGGGCAAATGGACGCTGTTGGGCGGTTGTTGTTGTTCCTCTTCCTTGGGTTCGGAACTTTTCGGATTATCCTGACCCGCTCCGTCACCCTCGGGCGGCACCACGGAATTATGCTCTGGAAAAGTCAATTTGGCAACTTGGCGATAACATACTTTAAAGTCATTTTGATCGTCGTGTTAACATATTTAGAAAATAAATTAATTGGTCTTTGACGTGTTGCTTAATGCCGAAAAACCGGATTATCCACCAGCACCAGAGTCTTAAAACACTGTTGTGGCTAGAATTATATCAGATTGATTACTCAAATCGTAGACCCACAAAAATAGAGATACAAGTCGAAAAATTCCAAAAACCGGATTATTATTATTATTATTATTTTAAAAAAAGTATTCGGGTGTGTGATGCTACAGGATAAATGATATCTCTAGACAGCACCATGGGTCACTTTTGAATTGGCGGGAACACTGTCTCCATTCGTGAAAAGTGTCATATCATAGTTCGATGTCCAGCCTAATAGCATCGGTGTAAGTATTTATCAGGAAAAATGGCACATTTCTAGTTAGATCAATTTTCTTCTTGTTTAGTGAAGCATTTTACATTGCTCGGTAATAACTTATTATTGTGTTATAATTAAACTTAATAAAAGTTAATAAAAAATTAATTATAGTTAAACGAAAAAATGTCAAGAAGCTGTTAAAAATCGTAAAAAAGCCTTAATCAAATTCCTACGCCATCCATCAAATCACAACCCGGAAAGCTGTAACACAGCAAAAATTCGAGCTCGATACATAATCAAAGAAAGGAAAAAGCAGTAATGGCATAATTTCCTTCAAAATACTAACTCTATCACTCCAGTAACTATTTTTTGAAACACAATCGGAAAGATTAAAGGGCTCGGCATCTCCCCTCCAGTATCTTGCCTTAAAATCAATAATGACTTTGTAACAGATCCAAAACAAATCTGTAACAAACTTAGACAACATCAGTACGAAATTTCATCAACATCAAATTACACTTCCAGTTTTAGAGCTATTAAAATAAAAACCGAGAGGACACCAATTCCAATAGACTCAAATACACCCCTTCCTTTAAATCTTCTTTTCACACAAACAGAATTTGACATTGCCCTAAACTCGAGAAAAGACACTGCGCCTGATCCCGATAACATCTGTATCTCAATCTGATCGATAACATCTGATTAAGAATTTGAGGCCAAAGACCGTGAAATAATCTTAAAAAGTATTAACAAGCTCTTCACGAATGAGATCTTCCCTGAACTCCGGTCAAATGCGATCGCGATCCCCAAACTCAAAAGGCAAAGACCGAACACGACGTTAAAAGTTATAGATTAATTTCTTTAACATGTTCAATGTGTAAGTTGATGGAAAAAGTGGTATCTAACAGATTACAATGGTTTCTAGAATACAAAAATTTGCTACCCCCCTGGCAAAGTGGATTTAGGAAAGGTCGAAGAGCTTGTGATAACCTAGTTCAACTAGAAACAGCAATCCTTAGTGCGTTTAACAATGGAGAACAACTATTAGCGATATTTCATGACCTCGAAAACGTTTTTGACAAGACCTGGAGACATTTGATATTAGTTAAACTAAAAAGATTTGGGATTGATGGCCACATGCCAGCATTCCTATCAAATTTTCTGAGCAATAGGTCCTTTCGCGTGGTAACATACTGTCAGACAACTTTGTGCAAGAAAACGGTGTCCCACATGGAAGTGTGTTAAGCGCGCTACTTTTCTGTATTAGCTCAAATAAAATTATAGAAAAAGTTGCTACCGGTGCCTTTCGTTCCAGTCCAGCTGATAGCTTAAGCGCAGAAGCAGAACCCCCTCTCAAACATCGGCGCACATTCCTGGATCTAAAGTTCTTTGCAAAAATCATATCTAATAAATCGCACCCACTCAGAGATCTATTTCCCGGGGATAATATGTTGTCTAATGAAGTTCTCCTTACTCAGAAGCGAAAACTCTATTCTGTGCGAGTATCCCTGACCCTGCAATCTTTAGGAATATAGATCCCAAAAATACAGCATTCAAGCGTCTCGTCACTCCCTCCCTGAACGTTACAGAACAAATTTTGTTTCAGATTCTAGAAATTCATAAAAGTGAACACCTATCCTTACACCTATCAACAAGAGTTCCTAAAATCAAAAACTATTTCAAAAATGCAACCTTCGCTTACACAGATGGATCCAAGAGCGCAGAAGGGATTGCCGCATTCGTGTTAGGCAGTAGGAAATATTCTTTCGTACTCTCACGACTACTTATGTAGTGTAGAACTCCTAGCGATCAATAAATGCCTGAACATAACAGCTTTGACAAGAAATCATCTGATCCTTTGTACTTATTCTCTTTCGGCAGTATATGCTTTAAAATATATTTTTAGCCTGAACCCCATCGTACATGAAATTCACTCTGCCATAAAAGACCTTTACTGCAAAAATGTACAAGTCACTGTCATGTGTATACCAGGGCACTACAAGATATCCGGAAATGTTGAGGCGGACAAAGCGGCAAAAAGTGCCCAGAGAGACGGCCATCAAATAAGTGAGGTGCCGCAAGAAGACTTTATTACTCATGTGAGGGCCAAAACAAAAGAAAAATGGCAACTAGAATGGCTTAATATTGGAGAAAACAAGCTAAGAACCATAAAAGCGTACATTGCACTATGGACCACCTCAGCTAGAATGTCACGAAAAGAAGAATGTGTACTTGCGAGACTCAGGATAGGGCATACGCGGATTACTCATGGGTACTTGATGGCACGCGAACCTCCGCCTATGTGCTTAACATGTGGAGTTTAATCATAGTCAAGCACACACTGTTATAGTGTAAGATATATAGAAGGGTGCTTGCTTCTCTACCCGAATTGCTAAACTACAGGGGAAAAAACAATGTCAAGATTATTTCAATTTTTAAGGGAAACAGAACTGATTGGTAAAATCTGTATTTGCCTAAGATTTTAGATTTGGGTCTCAGGGTTGGTGGCTATTATTAACATCCTAATACACATTGATCATGTGGTCTTGCTTGCCGATAATGTCGCTTTATTCTGAGAAATATTTATGTTTTAGCGAATTACTGTGACCAGTGTTACCTGGGTGTTTATTTCAACAAATCAAAGGTTATTTTCTGAAGAGGAGACAGGATTCGAAAGAAAAGTTGAAATCTGACTTAAGGGGTAAAATAAAGAAGTGGGACCTGTGGCGGGGCGGCTGGCGCTCGGGTTTGGTGCGGGTGGTGTGGTTGGACGTGGTGTGTGTGTGTGTGAGGACTTCTGGGCGACAATGCAAGCCCCAGACCTGGGGGCGATGTGGATGTCACAGAGCCCATGCACATCGTCAATAGAAGGTACTCAAGAGAGATAAAGTAAAATTATGAATGTTGAATACCTAATCCTTGAGAATGCTGTCCGTATGCCCCCTGTGTCCCTCCGTGCTGCCTGGGTCCTCGATCGGGCCGCCCCCACAGGGCCCACCCAGTACAGATTCAAGGCAAATATAACCCTCATTGTGGCTGCTGCCTTATTAAGAAAAAAAATATTTGTAAAAATGACTTTTACATCACGTGGACAAAAAGTTCGCTGAAAACCAAGAAGGAAGCTGCCATCAATAATAATGTTAATGAAGTTTGTCAGTTTTCAAATTCCACTTCATTGGCTTTAGGGCAAAACGGGATATTGGGTCTTCTCGTCGCACTTTCATAACCGACAATGAGAAGAAAAGTATGACCTATAGTGCTCATAGTTTTGGATTTTCAAATGTCACTAACAAATCTGGTAAGCATGAATGCTCAGCTTACAAGTTGCAGGCAAAATTGTTACAGAAAATCGAAATATTGTAAATACTGTATTATCACAATTATATTTTATGCGAAAAAAGAAGATTGGATGTCCTTAATTGAACCTAACAGCATTCCTAGTACTTTTGCTGCGTTTTTCTCTTCATCGTGAGAGCATAGCAGTACTAATTTCAAATTATGAAAAACAATTGTTTTTCAAATCAATTATACAAATATTTTTTTCTTAACGGATATTTGTATGTCGTCTGTTACTATCATCAAGAAAATTATAAACTTACAGTCATTCATTCACCACCATTATCGTTAGAGCAAACCAACTTAAATTACTGAGAGCCAATATACGCAAGATAAGTGTCACAACTCAAAAAGCCGTAGTTTTTTTGGTAGTATTGCTGGATTTTTAAAGTATTGTGTTTTCACTTAAGATTTAGACAAGGGAATGGCAATATTGATCGATCATTTCAGTTTTTATTTCCAACAACCGGAATGGCGTGTACTTAATACCTAAGTCAAAAAAAGTAAACGTCCATCTGTCTAAAAACAATAATTTTTTCTGGCTAAAAAAATTATTCCTGTAAAATTTTGTTGTTGTTGAGTTGGGTCAATTTTCATGTGCGTGTGGGAATGTCCGAGTGTGTATATTCCAGCATCGATTGATTTGTCCCCCCCCCCCCCAAAAAAAAAATTAAATTAAATTGAAAAATAAACTACAATTCAAAGAAGTAAAATGATTAAGATGGTAATCGCGAGTTTGGTAAAAAGTGTTGTTCCAGATGGCTGACCTATTGATTCTAAGGTTTACAACGGCTGTAAAAAAGACGTGGAGTTAATTGGAAAACTATTTTATTGTCCGAAAAAAAAAGCGAATGAAGGAATTGAAGGAGTAAGCATTTTGCCTAGTCCTGCTTACATTCCTGACACCATCTGAATATAATCACGATATTTCTCTGTCAGTGTAACCCTTTTGAAAGGACAGTGTTTTGAATAGACCAGAACAACATAGACGAATCAGAAAAGGCCAGATTTGTTTAATTGTATGAGAAACTGGAGAAAAGATAAATAAATACAAAATCAACGAGCACTCAATTTATATCGGGCCAGATTGAAAAAAAAAAAAATAGAAGATATTCTAAAAATTATTTGACATTTCGTACATATAACGTTCAATAAGTAATTAAATTTGAACTCCAAACTTGTTATGTCGAAAGCCTAATTTATTTCAAAAGTCTATGCCAATTCACTAATTTCGTGGTCCGCTTGACCAATTAATATATAACAATTAATTAAGCTTTTTAGTTGAGATAAAAAAAAAAATGGCAAAAAGGAGGGAAAATCCAAAAGATGCGGTTGAGATGGGAAGTTGGTGTTCGAGTGGATCGAGGTCACGATAGCTCAAGTGGTAGAGCAGCGGCGTATCAAGCCGAAGATCGTGGGTTCGAATCCCGCTCGTGCCATTGACTTTTTTATCTCAACTAAAAACCTTAATTAATTGTCTATGCCAATGTTTGTAATTTGACAAATGATGGCACGTTTAATCCTATGTTTAGATTTTGTGCTTATATTTCAGGCGTAACTTTTGTCATAAAAAAGTTGGCTAGTGCTAAGGGAAAACAAGATGAAACATAGTAATGTTGTTGTTGTTGATATTTTGTACATAGAGAATATATAGAAAAATAAACTGGGTTTTTGTTACACAAGTGTTTTAAGTATTGCACGTAGCAAAGTAGTACTTATTGTATTTAAAATAATGGCTTAATAGATAACATTGTACTTAGTCATGCAGGGTTTAAAAAAAACCTTGCGGAGATCCCTCTCGTAACCCCTGACGTTATTTTATCATGAAAATATATAATCCCAACGGCCCATATTAAAAAAAGTTAAAGGCAGTAAATTGCCCCGCATCTGCTGGCTACATCGCCTTTTCATAAAATCCCATTAAAACTTGGACGAGTAGAAATAGGGGAGGATATTAAATTCGAAAGACTATACTCACTTTCCGACTGGGCCACGGTGAGCTGCATTTTTCTTGCAGGGACCTCGGGGATCGGCCGGTGAGTTGTCGTGAAAGGAGGTACAGCCACTTCTTCTCCTCTCGTCGTATCTTCCGCCATACCCCTCAATTTGTCCTGTTGAACACACAAATACAAATTTATTAAATAGAACCTAGAAACAATCGATCTTGCGTTGCTAAAATAACGACACAACTTCTGTAGAATAAGTACTGTCAACGTATCTCTGACCAAGAATCACATTAATCATATTAACCAAAACGTGTCAGGCTGAAGAGGGGGAAGATTGTTCTGACCTCAGTGGCCAAATTGTATGAACAAGAACGAGCAGGACCAAATAAAACATTGTTTACATACTAACTTTTGACTTATTCATATTTAACGATGTATTATTGTTTGCTTTTGATTGATTGTTTTTACCAAACAACGAATTTACATTGTAAGAACAATCAATTAAAAAGCTTTTGTAATGTTATGAACAAAAGAGCTTGTTTGGACCATAATAAAAGACACTGTTTGATTTTGTGTATGTATAAGGTATTGAATATAACTAATATACTCAATAAGTCCAATATTTATCACATATCGGTTCAATTTTGGATATTGAAGATAAAAATAAAAGACGGGCCTTTTAATGGCACAGCTTTCAATCATATCTATGCTATTTGTTATTCTATTGATTTACCACTTCGATACGAAACTTTGGCACAAATTATACAAATTAAGCATATATTGCGTAAAGTTCATTGTGTAAAGTTTTATAAATTTATAATACTGTTTCATGTCAGTCCTGCTTTTGCACATCTTATTTGAGTAAAGCTACAAACTGAATCAAGATTGCAGAATAAAAAAAACCTTTTTATGTCATTAAATAGGATAGTAAAACTGTATTGGTTTATGACAGAAAGACCCCATTATAAAATTTTATAATCCCCTTCTCTTCCAAATTAATTAATATAATGAAGTGTTTATAGGTAAAAACTGGGGTGAGTGTATGACGTCTGGAGAGTAAAAGTAAGTTATTAGCAAGAGTTGAGAGGGTTCAACCCCGCCCCGAGGAATATTGAGTACTCTGGGGGAGTGAATGTGGCCAGACTTGTATGTTTCTATGGAGTGTTGCGTTTATGTTAATTTATCGGAATGAATGTAATTTATTAGCGTGAAAGGAAGGGGTTGCTTATAACCCCGCCCCGAGGAATATCAAGTACTCTGGAGTGAGTATATGACGTCTGGAGAGTAAAAGTAATTTATTAGCGTGAAAGGAAGGGATTGCTTATAACCCCGCCCCGAGGAATATCGAGTACTCTGGGGGGAATGAATGTGACCAGACATCTATGTTTGTGGTGATGTGTTTGTGTTAATTTATCGGAATGAATGTAATTTATTAGCGTTAAAGGACGGGGTTGCTTATAACCCCGCCTCGAGGAATATCAGAGTACTCTGGGGTGAGTGTATGACGTCTGGAGATTAAAAGTAATTTATTAGCGTGAATGGAGTACTCTGGGGGAGAGAATGTGACCAGACATCTATGTTTGTGGTGATGTATATATATGTATTATATGTTTTGTTTCTTTTCTGTATTTGATAACCTGAGGTTCAAACGAGAGACTAGCATTCTAGGATACCAACGTAATATATATTTGAAATCTCAGAGTCAGTAAGCAGATCGAGAAGCTCAAATGGCTGCAGTTTAAAACAAAATATGCGCGAAAGAAAAGAAAAAGAAGGAAAACACGTAGAGGGCCGGCGATGAACTCAGCTGTTTGTCGGCCCATAAACTTCCCACTTATATACGCAAAAAGCATTTTATCAGCGCGGGAAGACGGATATTTCAGATTGGTCACGTGTCATCTGGCGTTAGGCAGGGGTGTTTTCTTAGTCCCTATTTCTTTTGTTTTTCTTTCTGATTGGCCTTATTTGTTAGATTCGGATTCAAGGTCGGTGGCACTTTTATTGAAACTCTCATATATCGATTTTGCTTGTATAGACGAAAATGACCTGATTTTTAAACTTTGTAACATTAGCATCTCTTCCAAATTAATAAAATTAAGCAATAAATAAAATAAATAATTTTTCGTCAACCAAAAACCTTAAAAAGAATAATTAATTGGAAGAATAAAAATAATGTTTAAGAAAAACATTTTTCATCAGTATAGGGAAAAAAGTATTTCAGATTGGTTTCTGGTTTGTGTGGTCTTACGGTGGCGTGTACTCTTAATCCCATTCTCTTTACCATTATTCTTTTTGATTTACCTATTTTTAGATTTGGACTCAATGTTGGTGACACTTATAGTGAAACTCTCATACACTGCTTTTGATCGTATAGACAAAAAAGCCCTGATTCTTAAACTTTATATCACTAGGATCTCTTCCAAATTAAAAAAAATAATGTTGACGAAAAAGGTTTTTTATCACTTTGGAGAAAGAAGGTATATCACATTGGTTTCTGGTATACGGTCTTCGGAGGGTCGAATTCTCTTTGCAATATTTCTTTTGGATTGACCTATTTTTAGATTCGAGTATCAGAGTTGGTTTCTAGTTTTATTAAAACTCATCAACAGCTTTTGATTGAACAGATAGAAATTCCGTGGTTCTTCTAAATTATTAGTTATAATAAAGTGTTTTTTTAAAAACTTTTTTTTCGATGGGGGGAAGGCAGGTATTTCAAATTTGTTTCATGTACTATTTGTCCTTACAGAGGGGTGTAGTTTTTAGCCTCCTTCTCTTGTCTGTTTTTTTTCTGATTTGCCGAATTTTTTAGATTTGGGTCTCACGGATGTTGCTCTTTTTATTAAAATTCATTGTTTTTCCTTGTGTAGACTGAAATGCTCTCGTTATAAACCTTTGTACCATCGGTACCTCTTCCAATTTAATGTAATAAAGCGGTCTTATAAAAAATTATAAAAAGAGCTTTTCTTCAGTGTAGGGAAAATTGGGTATTTCAGATTGGTTTCACGCGGCATCTGGCCTTACGGAGGGGAGTATTCTTAGTCCCCTTCTCGTTTTCACTGTTCTTTTTGATTTACCTAGTTTTTAGATTCGGGATTCAGGGTTGGTTGCTCATTTTATTAAAACTCATAGGCAGTTTTTGACTGTGTAGACTATAAAACATCATATTGGTATCTTTTATATAATAATGTAATTAATATAATAATGTGTTTTAACGAAAAAAAAAAATCAGCAATGTGGGGAAAGATGGGTATTTCAGATTGGTTTCTTCTTATCTCTTCTTTTCACATAAATTTTTTTCGATTATTTGCCTAAGATTTTAAATTTGGGTCTCAGAGTTGGTGGCTATTATTAACATCCTAATACATTATCATGTGGTCTTGCTTGCCGATAATGTCGCTTTATTCTGAGAAATATTTATATTTTGACCAGTGTTACCTGGGTGTTTATTTCAATAAATCAAAGGTTATTTTCTGAAGAGGAGACAGGTTCGAAAGAAAAGTAGCTTCATGGGTACGTGTATCGTAGCCGTGCCCCTGCGTGTTCCATTTGGATCGTTAGAAACTAGGTTGGAGGGTTGACATTAAAAGAACCTCACCTTTAATTATACAATCTAGTCAGAGATTCGCACTTTTTATCTGGATAGCGCAGAAATCTCAGAAAAATCGAGTCCCTTATCAAAACAAACCTAGCCTGCATCTAGTAAAATTGGTGCCTGGTTTTACTGTCGGGGCCTCATCAAAAATTTACTTGTTTAAAATCTTTATTATTGTCACATTTTTGTTTTCTTTTTAAAGTTTTTAGTTGAGATAAAAAAGTCAGTGTCACGAGCGGGATTCGAACCCACGACTTTCGGCTTGATAGCCGCTACTCTACCACTTGAGCTATCGTGACCTCGACCCTCTCGGACGCTAACTTTCCATCTCAACCCCACTTTTTTAAAACATTTTTCCTTCTTTTTGCCATTTTTCAAATGTCGTGTAATCTATTTGATTCTCGGCGACAAATGAAGTGGCCACGGAGAGCTTTAGTGAAGTATACTTCATTTAAACTTATTAAATTCACTAGTTTTAAGATTATTAAGAACATAAGAATTATTATATTTTTTATAAATATGTTCACTATTTTCTATTATAGATAGGTAAATACTTTTATTTACAACAAATGACAAAAAACTACTACAAAAAGGCATGGATTAAAACCATCTGTTTGATTTGTAACTGGTATCATAATAACAATGTGGAAATTTAAAAAATATGTCAGTTGTGTCTAAACCTTCGAACAGTCAACATCATATTGTTTTCTCTTCCACAAAGGATTAACTCAACTATCTAATCTACATCTATTTTTCTCTCAGGGAGTACCCGTTTCTATTTTATTTTTTATCTTTCTTTCTCTTTTTCTTCCTTCTCCTTTCGTAGTATCCCTTTTGTTCATTATATTTTATACACTCTAAAGCTAAATTTTACTTCATAATGCTGCCCATGCCTGAAATGGATTTATCACTCACCGCTAAACCACCTGACCCTACTTCTAAATTAAAAATACCAGGAAAATGGTGCAGGAAATTTCTAGTTATGTCACTGGAGTCGGAACGAGGATGTTCCTTTAATAATTTCAGTCCTTTTAAAGCCTGTAGATTTATAAAGAGTTATGCTCCAAAAGTCTCCATGAAATTTCTCCGAAATGGATCTATCCTCCTTGATATTAACAATGAAAATGATTACCTAAACCTACAAACCATCAAAACATATGAAAATTCGAACAAAATTTTTACTCTCCATCGATCTCTAAATTTCTCAAAAGGTGTCGTGTTCGTTCCTGAACTGGTAAACTGTTCTGAGACAGAGATTCAAACTGAACTAGAATCCCAAGGCGTGGTAAAAGTCGAAAGACTGAAGAAAAGCGTGAATAGACACTGCCCCCAACCCAACTTTATTTCTCACCTTTCAAAGACCTGATATTCCAGAAAAAGTAAATCTCGATTTTCTACAAATCAAAGTACGCCCCTTCACACCTAATCCAATGCAATGCTACTCCTGCTATAGATATCGACACATGAGCAAATACTGCAAGACGAAAAACTGAGGAAACTGTGGTGAAATGAGTCACGAAACATCTAGTTGCCCAAACCCACCACATTGCATAAACTGCTCTGGTTCTCATCC